CTTATGGAGTATTATAAGCAGCTAAAGATGTTATGGATGAATTAAAAAAAGGTGAGCTTTATCCTGAGTAATAAATTATTAATTCTACTTTAGATTAATAAGATTGTGTAGAACTGAAGTAATTAAGTTATACACTGAACTTTCAAGATGTCTAATGAGTAATAATGAAATTGATGATGCACTTAAATTAGTTGAAGAAGGAATATAATAAAATACAGATCAACTTGAAATAAAATCATTAATTGATATTAAAGTGGAAATTTTAGTAGCTCAAGGAAAAATATCAGATGGATTAGCAAGTAAACAAATAAATCATATTTTTAAGTACTTGGATTATGGGCAAGATAATTTTAGAGATCTAATAATTTAACTATGGAAACTGCTTATCTTCTCAAAGAAGTAGGTGATTTAGCTTACAAACTTAAAGATGTATAATTAAATTCTTATTATTAGTTTAATGTAGCTTTTAGTTTTTATTCTGAAGCTTTAGCTATTTATTAAAAAGGAAAAGTAAAAGGTTTAAAACAAAAAAATGAAATATAACAATACATTCAAGATATTGAAGAAAATCTTTAACAAATTTTCTAAATTTAAAAAATGTGATATATCATTATTTTTTATTTTGATATTTTAATAAAACTAAAAGATAACAAATTTTATATTAAAATATAAGAATAAGTAAGGATTAATCTTTGGAAAATAAAGATTGATATAAATATACAATAATTTCATGATACTAGAGTAATTCTATCGTTTTAATCTCCATGAATTTAAATTTGATTAAGTGAAGAGTATGTATTTAAAAACTCTTCAATTTCTTACATTTAAGATCCTTTACTAATAGCTTATCTAACAAATGAATCTTTAGTTATAGTTCCTTTATTTTTATTACATAATGATGACAATAATTCATATAATTTAGCAGTTTTATCCTTTCTTTATACAGTGTCTAAGATAATATAAATATAGTTACCATCTATTTGTTATGCTCTTCTAACACTTTCTTAGGAAATATCCATCAATCTAATAGCTTCTTCAACATCTCTTTGAGTGACTCTATCAGCCAATTGTAATTTAGCCTAAAATAAAAAATTAGTAATACAATAGCTTATGATAATCTAATAATAGCTAATAATGTTCTTGGAGTAGTATAAGAATATCCATCAAGAGTTTTATCAAATGTTTATTTTCTTCTTTCAACATATTGATCAGCAATATATTAATGTATTTCAGAAGTAAGGATTGGTTCATATTATTTTGATAAAGCAACAAATGTAGTTATTTCTTCAACTGAATATAAATCTTGAGTCTGACTTTCCTTATATTTATTTTAATGAACTCTACCAATATGATATGCTAATTTAGTATCAGCTTCTTAATTAATTTCATCTAATAAAATGAATATAAGATCAAATCTAGATAATAAAGCAGCAGGTAAATTGATATTTTGATGTGGTGTCTATTTTTTATTATATCTTCCATATAAAGGATTAGCAGCTGCTAAAATAGATGTTCGAGCATTTAAAGTAGTAGTAATACCTGCTTTAGCAATACTAACAGTCTGTTATTCCATAACTTCATGAATAGCAGTTCTATCACTTTCATTCATTTTATCAAATTCATCAATGCAACATACTCCTCTATCAGCCATAACTAAAGCACCACCTTCTAATGCCATCTCTCCTGTAATTGGATCTCTAATAACTGCAGCTGTTAGACCAACACTAGATGATCCTTTACCAGTAGTATAAACTCCTCTTGGTGAGACTTAAGATATATATCTTAATAATTAAGATTTCGCAACTCCTGGATCTCCAATTAATGCAACATTAATATCTCCTCTAATTTTTAAACCATCATGCATTTCTTTACTTACTCCTCCTACAATCATTAATAATAATGCTTTTTTAACATCTTCCATTCCAAATATTTCAGGTGCAATTGATTTTGCTAATTTCATATACAAATCACTAAATGGATATTTTTTAATATCTTCAAAAATCTTATGACCACTAACACTTTCAATATCAATTTCTTTAAATTTCTTTTTATCTCTTTTAATATGGAATGCTTCTATATAAGTACTATAAAATGATGTTTTATTAGCAAAGAATCCTTCTTTTTCAACTGGTAAAAAGACACCTTAAATAGTAACAATATCTCCTGGAGAACATATTCTAATATTACTATCTCCTCTTGCCATAACTGTAAATGTTCTTGGAATTGATCCTTTAGGTAATTGTTCTTTAAGTTCTTATATTTTGATTTCTTAATTGGATATAAATTTAGAACTGCCATGATTGAATATTAATCTTCCTCTAACTCTATTATCTCTACATTTATCACTTGCACAATCAAGCATTGGAGTAAATGTCTTACCATGTACTGTTTAATAATTTTCATATCCACATGCATCACATGAAAAACATGCAACTATAATTTATGGTCTAACCTCTGATGTTCTAACAACCATTGCTTTTATTGTAATTAAACATCCTATCAATTAAGCCTTTAGATTTCTTATAGCCATTATTTATTATTTTGTTTATGGTCCACGTATTATAAATAGTTGACTACATTTATTTATTTAATTTACTATCTACGTATTAATTCTGGAGGAAGTCTTTTCTATTGATTATTGTTTCCATCTTACTCCATATTCTATTGTCTTTGAACATTAATTTCTTCATCAAATAAATCAAAGTTTTATTCAAAATCTCTTGTCTATTGAGGCATTAAAGCATCACAAGCTTAATATAGTAATCTTTGATAAGATAATGTATTTGTTTTTATTTTATTAACAAAATCTATTCTATCATTGAAGAAATATTCTAGATCCTCTAAGTAGATATCAATACGATTAGTTTATCTGTTTGCTATTTTTTACTATTTTACTCTTAATTATATCATACCAACTCAATCATGTATTTGCGTTAACCATAAGTATTATCAATTTCTACTATTGAATTGTCACGAAACTCTGCAAGAAATTCACTTAGACTACTTAACTCTGAAGCATATTCAGGCACAAGAAATTGACGCTTGTTATTTTGTTTTGCCATTTATTTTTATTATTGATCACAAATTGTGGGAATTTGATAAAATGGGCGCCAATTAATATTATATATTTATAATTAATAAAATTATTATTTTTGTGAACTCCCCTTTTAAAATTATCTCATTATCTATTTAATTCAATTATAAATTATAAGGAAATACCTTAAATATTAATTCTTAAGAATCTTTTATACATAAAAATAATTTGCTATTCTAAAACCAATTACAAATAAAATCTTAATAGAGATCATTTCTATAAACTTAAAATAATAAACTCAGTATAAATACTCATCCCTTATATGTACATTCATTATTATTATTTTTGTTTAATTATATAATGAAATAATATTATATATATATAAATAAAATTAATCAAAATGGTGAGTGCTTTTTCTATTGGTAAAGCGTAACGATGTATTTATTATGTTTAAATAAATCAGCCACTTAACCCAGAAGTGAAACACCTGGACCAGGAGCTTACTAACCATTAAAGAGATAGAAGATGACACCTCCATCTTTCAAGTAATTTTTTGCCTGTTAAAGTAGATTTGGATCTGGTAATAGAAGTGGCCTTCTAAAAGTATTTGCACCAGGACCTGGTGCTTATGAGCATCCATCAAGAGTAACCAAAGAAGGACCAAAGTATTCCTTTGGTCTTAAGAAACCAACAATTTTAGCAAAATAAGGACCAGGACCAGGTAAATTTAATGCATTATTTTTTTCAGGAGCTTACAATCCTAATTACAGAACAATGGTCAAAGCTCTTCCTAATTATTCAATAGGGGCTAAACTATCATAAAACTACTCTACATTTTAACCAGGACCAGGAGCATATGAAAATCCATCTACAGTTATGGGAGTTCCTTGCATGAAGTAACGGTATAGTTTTGAATTTAAGATTTCCCCATTCAAAGCGAGATGGATTTTTTGATTTGAATCGAACTCCAGGACCTGGATCATATCTAAAGAGACCAAATAGTGCTGGCCCTTAATATAAATTTGGGACAGCATCTAGGGGAGCATTTTCAGAAATAAAGAATCCTGGTCCAGGAGAATATGAAGCAAGAAGCGAGTTTAATGTTTCACAAAAGGGATTTTCTATGCTTTCAAGAAGAAATTAAACTCAGTAAGAATTAGTGCCAGGACCTGGAACTTATAACTGGGATAAGAAATAAAAATTTAGACCTCCTTCATATAAAATAGGAAATGAGAATAGAGATAGCTTAAATAGAGAAATGCTCAGAACTCCAGGACCTGGAACTTATGAATCTAGATATGAATTTGCAAGACCCAAATCAGCTTAGGTTCGTATAGGAAGTGCTACTCGTAGACCTTTGAGTGATACAAGAGATATTCCAGGACCAGGAACTTATGATTTGAATACTAAAATAGGAGAAGGACCAAAACATTAGATTTTAGGTAGTAAATATGAACCAACTACTACTTTAAATCAACCTGGGCCAGGTGCTTATAATCCAAATGATGGACCAAGTAAACAAAGACCAGCTTCAGCAAAGATTGGTACTGGTTAAAGAGCAGAATTGAATGCTGGTTTTGGAAAAGATGCTCCAGGTTTAGATTATATATTTATTATTAGGGCCTGGAAATTATAATTTGAGAGGTTCATCAGATGGGCCTAAATGGGGATTTGGAACAGGACTAAGACCAAATTTAAATTAAACAGATTAGAGTATTCCAGGACCAGGAAATTATAATCTCAAACCAACTTTTGCAGATGTTCCATCATATCTATTGAATAAATGAATATATATGAATTATAATATGATGATGGAAATAAGTTTTTATTTTATTATTCTATTTATTAATATTTGAGGTGTCGTTTTTAATAAAATAAATTTAATCAATTTTTATTGAAGAAATAAAAAACGAATAGTGGTATATGAAAAGTGAATGTGGTTTGATTGTAAAACATTAATTTAATTATGAAATTGATTCTCATCGCTCTTTTGGGATTAACACTCACACAAGCTGTCTTTGTTAAGAGATCTAATGATCCAAGCAAGGCTGTCTTCACATAATTAGAAGCAATGGAAGAACACGAATTAGGAAGAAAATTGTTAGACACAATTGCTCTCTAATTGAACAACAAGGCCCCATTGGGAGACATCGCCAAAATGTTATAATAATTGAGAGAAAACCTCATCCTCAACTAATAAGAAGCTGATTAAAAACATGCTTAAGATGAAGTTGACTGTGAAACAGAAATCTATTAATATAACAGAAGAATTGACTTTGCTTCCAACGAAATCACTGAATCAACATAAGAAATCTAAACCCTCAGTGCCAAAGTTGAATAATTGACTTAAGATGTTGAAAACAAATAAGTCTAATTAGATATCTTGAATGAATAAGAAACTTAAATCAGAGAATAAAGAGCTGAAGATGCTGAAAGTTTCAAGACATTCGAAAATGAGACAGAAAATGTCATTGAGGCTGTTGAAGTCATCATCTAAAAGTTGAGCTCAATCCAACCAGATTAAGAAGTTTTGGCTGCTTTAACATAATTAAACAAGATTGGTGCATCCAACCCAATCCTTGCTCTTATGTAAGTTGCTTCAACCTTCTCAGCTGAATAATTAAACAATGTCCTCGGAAAATTAGGTGAAGTCAGCACTTAATTAGCTGAAGCTCTTGAAGATGCCAGATAAACCGAAATCTAAGCTTAATTAGATTTTGAAGCTTTGGTTGTTGAAATTGCTTCATAAAGAGAATCATTGAGCGCTGCTAGAGAAGACTCTGAAAGATAACTCTAAGATAACTAATAAGCTTTGGATTTATAAAAGAAGAGAAAGGAAGATGCTACTGATGAATTGAACGCTGCCTCATCAGGAAAGGAATAAAAGGAAGCTGAATGTGATTCATGGAGAACTTAATATGCTGAAGATTCTGAACACAGATAATAAGAAATCTCTATCATCAGATAAGTTGAAGAAATCTTAGCTACCAAGTTATCCAACGTTAAGGTTTATCTCTAAGAGAGATCATCAGCTTGATATAAATTTAATTCTTAAAAAAAATATATAAATAAACCCTCATTTTATAAATTACATTTTATAATTATTTACTATATATGTTTTTAGATAATGAAAACATGAGCATGCGGCTCAAAATTGTAGAAGATCGATTAGGATTTATGGAAAATTTAACTCAATTACAAGACAAACGAATAAATGAATTAACAAAATAATTAGATCATGTTATTCACTAATTTCAAGATTTGAATTTGGATCGTTGCAGAAATGATGAAGGTTTATCATTTAAATTTGAACGTTTTGAAAAGACACTTCTTATGTTGTAAAGAGAAATGAATCAAATAGGTATTCAATTTATTACTAACTTAAAGCTACACATCAAGATGAAAGAATTAATTAATTGATCAATTAATTAGTTGAACCTAGTTTTAAAGATATAGATATTTAAATTAAATAAGAGTCTTAAAGATTGTAATTGCAATGTCAAAGGTAGTTAGATGAAATGTATGAGGAGATTGTTAATAAATTTAAGACACCTTTATAAAGTAGTGTAGCTCATGGAGGAAGAGCAAGCATATTTGAATCAAATACTTAGGATGATACTAAGAAAAAAATTGATGATGAAATTAATAGAAGAATTTAAGAAGAAAATGAAAAAAGAAGATCTTTTTTAGAAAGTGAAACAAAATAATAAAAGAATGGATAATTATCAACTGAAAAATCAAGATCAAGAGAAATTTAAAATCGTTTAAATCTAGAAAGAAAAGCAAAATAAGACAAAATAAATCAATTAAACGAATTATACCAATTTAGAAAGCATTGAAAAAACTATAAAAATCAATATAATACTATTATCAAATTTATAATCTTAAGATTTAATATATATGAATATTAAAGTTTTAAGTTAAATATACTTCAATTATCCTACTTTATAGTTATTTCTCCTTATAGAATATATATTATATGATCCTTATAATATATTAAAGAAATAAATATTCATTTCTAATAATATCTATTGATAACTTTACTTAAGAATATTTATTTAATTTCAAATTTTTAATGATATTATCTCTGCTATTATAGGATTATATTATTTCTAAAAAATATTAATTTATTTTTAAGTCTTTTATGAAGTAAATTAAAATTAACTAATATGTGTATACTATTTTAACATATAATTAAAAAATTATCAATTAATTTTATACTTTATTTTATCTTACTAAAAAAGATGTTCATATTTTTATTACTCTTAAGGATCCCACCAAATTGTAAGAGTGCATTATCTCTATTATTTTTTAATTTAAGTTTCAATTAATGATTCATGTTATAAATTATTCTATTAATTATTTATTTCCATTTATGATAAAGACTATTATATTCCAAGTTATTCGCATTATTAATAATCTTCAATATAGCTAATTTATTGAGATTAGTGTTAGTTTAAATGATTATTTGATGTTTCTACTTAATCTTATTCATCAATATTATTGACTTAATTTGCTTTATTTATATCATCTTCTAATTTTTTTATGTATTATGATTGAGTTAGATAATCCCCTCCAATTACTATACCTTTTGCTTATTAATCATTATTTTATTTTTTTATAATATCTTCAAAAATTGGTTAAGCCTATTGGTGTATCTAAGGTTCATTATGAATTTCTTTATTAATAATCTAAGGTTGATAATGGAAATTTGTATCAATAATTTCTCCTTTGTTCACTAGAATTTAAATTAATAATTTACTTTTCATCTATCCATCTAGACCTTTATGAAAAACTAGAATTTATGGATTAATTTAATTTTAATTTAAACAAATTTTGATAATTGTAGATCTTCCTCCAATAAATTTGTTTGTATCCTTAATTTATAAACAGAATTATTCACTTAAGTTAAAAGCTCTAGATATAATAATAAGTATATACTAATAATATGAAGCTTCTTGAATCATTTCTCCAATATTTATAAGCTCTATATAATCATCTAATATTGTTTTAAATGATTCTTCTTAATCTAATCCTGACATTTCTATTATGACTTCCATAATTATTTAATATTAATAATAAATAAAAAATAAAAAAGATATATTATTGAATTATTTATTATCAACTCACTTATTTTTTTTTATAATTTCATATATAAAATGTTAAGTTATATTAAATTAATGATGATATATATTAAATGATAATGCAATTCTTATAATTCATAACTTTTCTTTTTTCTTTTTTTCTTCATAATTTACAAAAGAACCTCTATTCATTCCTTTAAGTGATGAATAATTATCCCATTCACCATTTCTTCCATCATTATATTTACGTAATAAATATACACCATTAGAAACAACCTAAAGTTATTTAATAAATAAAATACTTTCTTTGCATCTTAAATTTCAACCATATGATGTGTATCTCTATGAAGTTTTTTTAATAATGCTAGTTTTTCTTCATTAGGATTAAGTTTTTCTTTATCTGCAAGATTAGGTGGGAAATCTAAAGGCATTTTAGTAATATCTTTTTTTTTGTATGTTTAATTAAGAGGTAAAATTCTATTAATTGTATAATGAATGCTTTCTGGATTCTTTCTCATTTCAGATGGTACTTTACAAACCAATTTAGGATTTTTGAATCTATGAATTGGTTTATTAATTAGAATACTCATCCAAGCATTCATTCTTATTCTTCTATCTTCTAAAATAACATTCTAAAGATGATAAAATTTAAATCTATTATAATAATCTGTTTCCAATTCTTTAAATAATAATTCAATCATTTCTTTAGTATAATGATTTGGTTCATTAAGATCAATAGTTTCAATCATAACATTAGCAGCATTACCTTTTTCACTATAAAGTAATTCTAAGATTTCTTATTTATTCATCTCTTTAGCTAATGTATTTAATTCTTAATCAGTCATAATATGTTGCATATTTCTACCACCTTATAAATGAGTGTAACCATTACAATGAAATTGACATTTTTCACATAATTATTAATAAATTGATTTAATATCTTCTTCTTTTAATAATCTAATAGGTGGTAATTAAACTCTTTATGGTAATTATGTTCTAGTACCTGTTGTTGGTTAAGGTCTAATTTTAATTCCTAATTTAGTTTATTCAGAAGCAATAAGTGATTCTCTAACACCTTCTATATGTTCTTTTCCTATTAATGCACATTATCTACAAAGACATTGATCAACACTATGATAATTAACACATGGACCATAAATAGCAAAAATATCTAATCTTTCTAATGCATTTGAATGTTCTAAATTAGGAGGATATAAAAATTTAAAAAGTGTTTCTAATGAAACTAACATTTTATCAAATTTGAAATCAGGTATTTTTTGAGGAATTGGGAATTTGAAAATGTCTCTTTCTTTATTAGCTGAAAATGGATCATCACTTCCATGAAATTCATTTTTTATTATAGATGTTCCATATATTGCTCTTAATGATTATGGATCTAATTTTTTAGCTTCAAGTGGATCTTTATTTCCTATCATCTTTTTCCATACTATTATAGGATTTTCAGTTTCATGACATAAAAGGAACATTACACATTCACCTGATAACATATATGTCATAATTTCATCCATATACTTTTATTATTTGTAAAACAGATTAAGTACTTCTTCTCTGTAAAGTTCTCTCAATAGATAATTGTTAAATACTATACTTAAACAAAATTTTTAATTGTTAATCCAGCTGCTTCAATTTTATTTACTACTTCTTAGACTACATTTGGTTTAAGTGTTGTGTCTGGTTTAATCAATGCAAATGTATATGGCAGATTCTCTTATTTTGGATCAAACAACATGAATTTTATTATATTAATAAATATTATTATTAATAACACTCATTTATATCTAGATTTACGTAATCTCTCAACATGAATATTAATAATTTGTTTAGGAGATAATTATTATTATTGATGAGAAGAACACTGAGAAAAATAAGATAATCCCTATTGTATATTCCCTTCACTTCTTTCAGTTTTCAACATATTCTTTAAACGATTGAAATTTGATCCTTATCTTGATAATAAAGGAGTAGGTTTCTAATTCTAAGGTATTAATTTTAAATAATTTGGAATCTAAATTGGAAAAAGACAATTAGAATGTGTAATTGGAGGATTTAATTAAAAACGATTACTAAGTGAAATTTATCTAGTTGAATGAAATCGAGTTATTTCAGAATCTAAATTACTGTCTCTCTTTTTTGTAATAGGACAACAAAGTAGTAGAGATTCTGTAGCTTTTCTTCTTAATAATATTTATTTTGATTATCTTTAAGCTTTCTAATTAGATTATTATGAACATGCTAATTTTAAATTATGAATCTCTAATGTTGACATAAATTACTATGCACTTAATGTTCTTAAAACAGTTTCATTGCTTTTACAAATAGCTTTTTAAGTTCTCTTAATTCCTTTAAGTACTTCTTCCTCTCCAAATATAGCTCCCTTAGTCATTAAAGATATTACTATCCTTTACCAATTATTTAATTAATAAGATAATTCTACTTCTCCACTTATTATAAAATATACTGAATGTGATTCTTCATTCTCTTTGTATATTGTACTATTCAATTAAGGTGAAAATTCAATCATCTAATGCATCAATTATGTTAAATGTTAATCTGGAATACCATGTAAATAAGAGATATTTTCAAAAAAAGCTAATTATTACTTTAAAATAGAATTATGATGTTCATACAAAATACGATCAAAAGCATTTTTATGTAATATCATAAAATGACAATCTGTGTAACAGAGAATAGTGGCTGTTCTTTTGGATTTTGTTATTAAGGCTAAATCTCCAAAAGTATCACCAGCACTAAGACTTCTCACTTTTACAAAGTCTTGATATACTACCTACAAAAACTCATTAAAGTCACTAAATTAATTTGACTTCTCATTCTCTATTCTTTACTGCAATTCCTCTATTGTAATCCTACCATATTTAAGATCATCCTAGACTTGTGGTTTTGGTAATAGTACATTCACTTATCCCTTTAATATGATATAAAATGTGGATCCCATATCACCTATGTTTGAGATGGCAACAAAATACCATAATTAAAAACAGTTTCACATTATTAGACATACTGGTAATCAAGGTTCTTATATATTTAGGTATAAAGGTAGAGTGGTAATTTAGCTTTCTATTCTTCGAAGAATTTTAAATTGCCAAAATTTTTCATTAGAAAATCCAACTCAGTTTTAATTAAATCTCCTCGCTTTAATAAATCAATTGTTATCTGATAGGTTTAAGAGAGTAATATACTTCATAATTATTGTTATCGCGATCAGTGATGGAATTCAACTTTCTTTTAATTGATTTTAGCATATAAAATATAATAAATGAATATTTTTACTCAATTTTGTGCAACCATTGGAGCTGAGACTAAATTTGAGAAAGTAAGCACTCAAACCTATACAAACTAAAGGCCAGAATAGCTGCTACATATACCAGCACGAATCCCCCAAGTGAAGAAGATATCAAATAGATTCTAGCTACACTTTCAGGAGAAGACTTACAAACAAATGCTTAGACAGCGTATAGTTCGTTAGTGAGAAGATTGAAATTATAAAACAATGATGAAAATGGTTGGATGATGATCATAAAAAGTTTGATAATCATAGATAGGTATTAGGTCAAAAAAATTGAGGTGTGTGAGTGATCGTATATTACTTAAGGAATTTTATGAGTTAGATTTACCTTTAGTAGAATGTAGATAAGAGCGAGATATAAAAAATAAGTAATTACTAATTAACGAATTAATATCCAAATATTATCATTACATAAAATTTAAGGGATTAAAACTTAGAAATTCTACATCCCTTACTCTATATAAGAAAGAGAAGATCTTATATTTTAATAAAATGCCACTAAAATCTATTTTTGATGAATTGAAAATGATTCTAGAATTAGTCTAAAGAGTATTTGATATTATAGAAACAAAGAAAAATGGTCATTTACGATTTAAAGTTAATCAATATGTTTTCTTATTATTAATGAATGATTTATTGAAATATTATGGATGTGGATTAATTGCTTTTAATTTACTTATTAAAAAATTGGAAGATTTATAATCTAATGATCTTCTTTAATTAATAGCAATATCTAAATCTATGGTAAATTTTTCAAATAAGTTTGAAGAGTTTATCCATTAATGTAGATTTATATAAGGATTTGAGAGTGTGTAATTAGATTATAAGGTGTAAATTTAAATTAAATATTAATTAATAGGTAGATGATAATGTTGTGAATTTAGTAACTTAATATTTAGATCAAATTGAAATATAAAAATCTAATGGAACTAAATAGATAAAACTTAATCATTACAATACTTAAGCTGTTCTTGAATTAATCTGTATGTATGCATATTGTAATCATTTAGCTTAACAAAGATTGACACCTAAATAAAGTGAATTCTTTGGTAATATTATGATCAAATAACCATCTAAAACATAAATCTTTGTTAATTCATTTAGAAATAAATTTTCAGAAGAAACTTTTCAAAAATTTACTAATAATTATTCTTCAAAGTATATTAATTATCATAATAAAAATTAAGATATCTACCTATACATGAAAGTTTTAAAAAATTACCTGAAATCATAGTAGAAGAGGAAATAGATTTCTTATAAAAAGTTGAAGATGATCAAAATAAGTTTCATGTTAGAGATTCAATTGATTTGTTATATCCTGATCCATTCGATGACAAAATATTTACTCAATTTTAAAATATTTATAATTAGTGAGTTATCATTCTTTCATATATTTTATAAAAAAATTAATTAATATTAATAAAAACACAACTATTTTTTTAATTTAAATTATGAACTCAAAATAAATAGAATATTTAATCAAAATAAATGAAAACTAGAAGATCATAGTCAGTTCAACCTTCTTATTAATCTGAGGAGGAATATATTGAAAAAAATATGCATGTTTGTAAATCAGTTTATCCTTAATTAACATTTAGATAAATAAGAAATAAATTGTCATCTGAATGGAATGTTTTAAATAATAAACCAAAAGTATATTCTTTCTTTATTAAAATTTAGAAATAAACTAAATTAGATGATTTTATAATCTAAATAAGTCCATCATCACCTATCTCTAAAACAATTTAAAAAAAAAAATCTAAAAAATAACTAAAATAGAAATTACAATTACAAAATAACAAAAACAATATACCATCTAAGAATTTAAATCAAAAAAAAACAAAGATCTCTCATTCATTAAAATAAGGACCCACTATTGTGATTTCTGATTCTGAATCTTTTAAAATTAGTTTGACTTCATAGGATGATAAATAATCTATTTTAAAAGACAGTCCTATTGTAATTTCTAATAATAGCCTATAAAACAAAGAAGTTAATTAAAAACTTTAGAAAAATTAAATTAAATAAAAATCAGAAAAGGAAAAGGAAAAGGAAGAATCTAAATAAAATTCCATAAAACATTAAAAGATTTCAAAATAACAATTAAAACCTAATCTAAAATTACATAATAAAAAATTGAAATTAAGAAGATTAAATAAATTAACAAAGTTAATATCAAATAATAAGTCAGGAATAGCTTCTGATTTTAAACCTGTTTTAATTTCAGATTTTATTAATTCAACAAAAAAATAAGATCATATTAGTTTAATTACTATATCAAAATCTAAAGTTGAATAAGGATAGGTGGGTTTAGATGAAATCAAAAATATTGTATCTCACACTTATGGAATAATTAATCATGAATACAATGATTCTGAGATTTTGAATTTTTAATTATTTTTTGAAGTTGAATTCTAGCCAAGAAATGATGGACATGTTATACAAAATACATTTTGTACAGCTAAATAAGCTGCTTTTTATTGCAAAAATTTGGTTTTGGAATATATTTAAAAACATAAAGATATATTTACTTAAAATGATGATTATTATCTATAATGAATATTATAATACATAAAAATTAATTCACTTATTTAAATTATTATTTTAGAATGGAAGCTTAAATTGGATTTAAAATAATGCCTTACTAAGATCATATTTGTTCTCAAATCCTTTTTGCTAAGTATTCATAATCAAATTAAGATTGGAGTGCAATTTACATTTAAAAAACACCTTAACATGCTTTAACTTATATATATACAAAATATGAAAGATTTAAGGAAGTCTGTTTAATGAAATTCAAATTTAATGATAAGATTAAATTTATTCAATTAGATAATGAGAATTTTTCTAAATATAATCTTCCTTCAAAAGATAAAGCTTAAATTACTAGAGTTATGTTGTTTAATAATTATGGGATTAAAATTGAATAAAATTAACCATTAATGGACACATTAGGAAAATTGAATATTGGATTGATAATGGAAGATTCTGAAAAATAATATGAATACATTGTACCTCATAAATTATTACAAGATGGATAATGTTATGAATCTAGTATTCCTATAAAGTTTTAGAGGCATGAATCAAAAGTATTTAGAACTGTAAAATTGATAATTAATAATGAATCTTAAGATTTAGATTAATATTAGGATAGAATTCATGAATTTCCTTTAAATTTTGATAATTTATGAATTGATTCATAATCGTATTTTCATTTTAATAAATAATTATAAATAATTATGTTTGAGAGTTTGAAGAATTGGCTTTTTCATGAAGACTAAGGAGATTTCGAATAATTTAAATTAATATCAAAATAACCAAAATTAAGATTGCCTCCTAATTTTGCTTAATAAATTCTAGACTTAGAATTAGAATTAGAAAATGAGAAGGTGAATTAAAAAATGGTTAATGATTTATTAGCTCTATATAAAGTAAATTAAGTTAATTAAGGAAGCTAGGAACAGAATATTATGGTTAGAATGATGATAAGAAATATAAGATATTTACTGAAAAGGCAAGTAAGCTTCTAATGAAATCAAATGTATAAAAGGCATTTGAGCCAAGTTAAAAACATGATTCAAGAGATGCCATATCAACAGCTAGAGAATTTAATTAAAATAATTCTTTAATGAGGTCAATGATAAATAGAGATTTGTAAAAGCAAGAGGAAAACATCTTATAAAGACGTTAAAATAGAAGAGAGATATTATAATCAAAATAATGATTATGATGATTTTTAACACTAGTTATATAATTTTTATTCTAATTATAGAAATTAGACACGCAATTTAATTATAAATTTATATTTTTTATTTTTCATAACATTCACTCAAATATTTTGTGTACATTATGGGAATTAAATTAACATAAATACTTTATAAAAATATTGACAATGTTAGTTATACATTTTATAATTATTTAAAAAAATAATTTTATCTTAAACTTTGAAGAGTATAAAGAAAAAAAAACTATAATTTAATAATGATAGGAATAAATAGAAATCTAAATAATATTAAATTAAAATGATATAATTTTATAGTTTTATAAATAAAATAAAAAATCAATTCGTTGCTACATAACCAATTAAAAAACAAATTAAAGCTGAAAAAAATATGTGTTAGACACTTACATAGATTTAACCTTAATTTTAATCAGATTCTTATGATAATAATAATGTTTTTTGTTTTTCAATATTTTATAATTCTTCAGATTATTTATTGTATTCTATTTATAATTAATGTATTTTAAGATTTAATTTTTAGATTTAAGTGTCCTCTTCAAAATCTTTTTCTTAGTAATTATGAACTTTTGGTTGTTAAGGTTAATATGGATATGATTAGGGTTTTGGGGGTGGATAATCAAATTGAAAATTATTTTATGAATTGGATGATTGTTTAGATGAAGTTTATTTAACTTATTAAAATGTAGTTGATGTAAGAAATCTTTATTCAGAAGCAGATACTCTGCTAACACTTTATTATGGATCAGAATTTGTATATGAATTTCTAATAGGTTATTATTTTATTTATTCACTCTTTTTTAACAACGCATTTTATTCATAAGTAAAATCTTATTAATTATTTATGCTTTCTTCTATATTCTTATTTAATGAGATTGATTAATTAACAGTATTAGATTATTTAGTTATTTAATTTTAATCTATAGTAATTATTTCTATTTTCATTTTTTGAACAAATGAGTTATTGGAATAAGAATCAAAATAAGAGGCTAAAGATTTAACATCTGTTTTATTAAAATTTTATTCAGATAAATCAACAGTCAGAATTTGTAATTTTGCATTGGCTAAGTTTGTAATAATGTATAAATACATTAGAATTTTTAACATTTAACGATAATTTTAAAGTATTATCCTGTAAAGGATCCAATATGTGGCATTACTTATATATCTTAAGTATTGTTAGTTCTGATTTTGAAACCACAACAACTTAGATTTTAATATATTTTATTACTTGTTAGGTTTAGTGTTATTAAGTGTGAGTGTCCCTATATATTGTCCATCAATTTTATAACATTCTAATCTTTCTCCTTGGGGAACAGTAATCATAAATTAAATTAAAACAAAATATAAAATTTCAATTTTGGTATTAAAATCATTACTCAATAATCTTAAAATCACTAGTAGTTCTACGACTATTCCTTCTACTTAGATCATTAAATTAATTTTTGAGAATTTCTAATTTAGCTTATTCTCTCTTATTTTTGTATTCATTAACTAATGATGAATGATTTTATTGAGGCAAAGGCATAAAACTTTTAAAATTGCTATAACATAATCTTTGGATTTCATTTTCTTATATTTTCTTTTATTTAAGATCTGGATCTTCAGCTTCATTATAATATTCTGTTTTAAAGACTTTAAGAGTATTATTATTAACTAATTCATCACTGTGAATAACAACATCTCTATTTTTATTATTTTTATTATCTTTAATCATTTTTGCCACTTTATTTTAATCTAATTCTAATAATTAAATATCTGCATTTGCAAAAACATGTTAAGCATAACCTCCAAAAATAAGTATTTTAGAATCTATAGAAACACTAGAATGTCTGCATTTGCCATGTTTTCTAATTAAATATTAATGAATACAATTATTAGATTTATTAAACTTAAGACCATGAGAATTATTAGATCTACAATACAAATATATCATTAAGAATATTTCCTTATTTTGAGTCATTCCTACCTCCATAAATAATAATAACATTAGTTTATCTAAAATAATTCATTGAATGAGAATATCGAGCTAATGGTGCTTATCCCTAATTAAATTATATCAATTACTTTTGTTTTCACTTTTGTAATTTTAATTGGTTTAAATCCAAATTATATTATTCTAAGATCATTAACTGCTTCTCCATTTTATAATCTACCTCCAAATACATATATGCCTTCAGTTGTAATGGGCAAGAAAGATTTACCCTTTTTTTTAACCCATTCATAACTGAAATAAGGATTTTCCATTTTAACTTCACTTTTAAACATGGCTAAAGAAGTTGCATCAGATACTCCTTCTAATCCAGTTGAATTCTCAATTTAAAATGAAGTCCTTAAATATATACTTTTCTAATAATTTACCATTTACATGTTTCTAAATTAAGTCCTGCAACATCTGTTAAGACTTTACCATAAGAATTGATTCCACCATAAACAATAAAATATTTACCAACTACTTCTGCACAATGATTACGTCTCCCTTCTACTACATCTCCATAAGGTTTTAATTAAATCCAAGTTTTATCACTTGGAGTAAAGATACGAACATCACCATAACATTCTCTCATTTTCATTGCACTATTATATTTTTTCTCTCCCCCATAAATTATTAATTATTGCTTATATAATGTTGCTGTGTGTCCAAATCGACCTTCCAATGGAACATCTCCTACTCCAGTTCCTATATCTTTCCATACCCATGATTGTGTATTCAGAGTTACAAAAGTCTTAAATAAATCATTTCCTATTCCACCATACATTATACATTTATTCAAATTTTAAATATAAGTAACTGTACATCCTTCACGAATTGGGGGTTTCCAATCTGATATTGATATGTGAAACCAAAAAAACTTTAAATTTGTTGTTATCACTTCTTGTGATAGAGAAGGCGAAGAACATTCTTCTTATTATTATCCTACATCATCTGCATCAGTATGATTTATCTTTAAATGAACTAATTTAATTTTGTATTAGTCTTTTTATTCTTATTTTTATATTATCGAATCAGCCACTTCTTTTACAGTCATATTCCATTTTTATTCAATTCGATTCTTGAACTTCAATGCTTGACTATGATTAAATTGAAGTCTATTCTTTAATTACAATGGACTACTAAGAGTATTAGCCAATTTATCTGCTTAAGTAAGCCAACTTGAATTAGTCCTCATCATCTCATTAAATGTTCGAAAACCTGTATCATCAGATTATGTTTAAAGGAAAATCAATTTACATTCCCCTTTAGAAATTATATCATCTACTGGAGGCATTTGAATTTATTATGGCTATTTAACCATAGACATCGAGGACTCAGTTTTTAAGACTCGAGATTTTTAATGAGCCCGTTATCCCTTCGAGGCAGAATTATCTCTTCCTTCTTTGAGTTCTTTTAATTTTAGAGAATATTAAATTATTAGACGCTTCCTTTTTTGGGAATCCATTTTATTATTTACAATAATATTAAATCATTTATTACTTAATCATAAACAATATCTCATATTAACTTATAATAATTTTCTAATATACTATTATTTTAAATCAAACATATTAACTTTATCTTATTATTTGTATCATTCTTTAATTAATACTCTGAATCTATTAATATTTTATAATTATCTTCTTTTAATAATAATAATAATAAAGAAAATCAAAGTACCCATTCTCATGAACTTAATTTACTTTATTTGAATCATCAAGACTTTAGAACTCTGCATATATGATAAAATTATGAAGTTTTAAATCAATCACTTAGATTCTTACTTTTATATGTTTCTAATTGTTATCCAATTTACAAATAATTCAAAATTATGTAGATTTTCTTATAATACTATTGTTACTTACTATAACATAATTTATATGTGAAATTTAAAATATTTGATCAAATAGAAATTCTAAAAATTCTGATCAAAATCTTAAATTCATCTATCCAACTGTTTTAACTTTTCTTATTCCTAAATTGAATTATATCTATTAAAAGCAAGTTGCTATCTAGTTGAAAGCCTTAAATTGATATAATTTTTGATTATCAATAAAATTGGGAATCTTGATACTGATATCAAGAAAATCATATTAATTAAAGAAAAACATTTAGATCAGATTTCAGTATATTAAATGCAATTATCCAAATGTAAATACTTATTTAGTTTGATAGGTCGATTTTTTTTATAATTTAATAAACGAATAAATTTCATTATTAACGTATTTTTAGATACATTGTTTTGATTATGAAATATTTGAGAATAAAAATATAAATTTAATTATATTTAGAATTGAAAAATGAATTTGAGACATTTACTATTATTCATGTTAATTAATAATTATATATGAATTTGATTAGAAAAAATATTATTTAGAAGTATAAATCCAAATTATAAATTAGATTCAAATAAAATATTTGTTTATGTATGTAAATATCAATTTGTTATGAAAATTACTTAAAAGAAATATATACATTAAGAAATTGTAGGAGATATTATTAATTTAAATAGTTGATGGAAAATTAATAACAATTGTTTAAAAAATAATTAATACGTTGTTAAGTAGTGTTTAATATTTGGATGTCGTAAGAATGTCTTTAAAAATGGATAAAATAAATAAAAGATTATCATTTAAATTTATTATCGTTTTAAGACCACTTATTAAATAATGAATACCTAAGTTAATGAAAATGATCCACTAAAATCAGAAGATAAGAAACAAAATGAATCCGATGTTCCTTACTTAAAATTATACAGGTTTGCCTCCAAATTTGATTATGGTCTAATGATTCTCAGTATGATAGGAGCTATTGGAAATGGATTATCTATGCCAATATATTCAATAATATTTGGTGACCTTACTGATTCTTATGCATATGATGATGACTATACTAAAATAAAAAAGGCAGGATTCAATACATTGTAAATATTTTATGGAAATATTAGATATATGGCAATTTTAGGAATAAGTACTTTATTAGTGACATTGTTGATGTATGCAACATTTTCTATAAGTACAGAGAATCAAACGAAAAAATTAAGAAAATGTTATCTTGAGAGTCTTTTAAAAAAGTAGGTTATGTGGTATGATTAAGTGAATACAAATGCTTTAAACTAAAAAATAAACAATGAAATATCTTCAATATCTGATGCAATAGGAGAGAAAACAATGACTTTTACCTTTTCACTTGCTGCCTTTATAAGCGGTTTCATTGTTGGATATATAAAGTAGAAATTGAATTTAATTTTAGGGGTTGGAAGCTAGCTTTAGTAATAACATCAGCTTTACCAATATTAGCAATAACAATTGCTTTTATTGGCTTTTCAGCATCTTGGAGAGAATAATTCACATTAAAGTCAGATATTGAATCTTCAGCAGTAGTTGAAGAAACTCTAAGTTAGATTAAAACTGTAAAAATGCTTGATGGAGAAGATTTTGAATATTAAAGATTTAAAAAGATCATATAGCATTCATCTAAAACAATAATCAAATATGGATTATATTATGGATTATCATTTGGATCTATGTCTGGATTTCAACAATGGACTTATGCTTTAGGAATATTTTATAGTGGTTAATTAGTATCTAATTAAGTATTAACTAAATATTATAAATAGGTGGACATCAATTATACAGGTCCAGTATATACATCTGGTAGTATTTGTACAGTGTTTTTTGCAATTCTAATGGGAAGCTTTTCTTTAGGATAAATAGGTCCTTGTTTATAGAGTTTTGCCAAAGGAAAATTGGCAGCTAAAGAAGTTTTTAAAATTTTAGATGAGAAACCAATTATTGAAGAAAATAATGAATGCATAAATTTAAATAGTGTTAGTGGTGATATTTAGTTTAAAGATGTCTCATTTGCTTATCCTTCAAAATAAGACATATAAGTGTTAAAGAATATTACTTTTACTATTCCATAAGGTAAGAAGGTCGCATTTGTAGGATAGAGTGGATCAGGAAAATCTACAATATCTTAATTATTGCTTAAGTTTTATGAAATTGATAGTGGAGTAATATTGATAGGCAATAATGAAATACCTTTGAATTAGATTGGGAAATAATAATTTAGATAGAAAATAGCTATTGTTTCTTAAGAACCAGCTTTATTTAATACAACAATTAGAGAAAATTTGAAATTAGGTAATTAGAATTGTAGTGATGAAGAATTAAAAGAAATGTTAATATCTATGAATGCATCAGAATTAATTGATCATTTAGATACTAATGTAGGAATAAATGGAAATTAATTTAGTGGTGGTTAAAAATAGAGAATAGCATTGGCAAGAGCATTGTTGTAAAAACCAGAAATATTAATTTTAGATGAAGCAACTAGTGCACTTGATAGAACAAATGAATAATAAATTACAAAAATAATAGATGAAAGATATGCAAATTTAACTAGAATTGTTATTGCTCATCGTTTAACTACTATTTAAGATAGTGATATCATTTTTGTTTTTTTATAAGGATAGATTTTAGGATAAGGAACACATACAGAATTATTATAAAATTGTGAATAATATGCTTATTTAATCTCAAAATAATAAACAAAAGAGGATACAAATATATTACCTACTTAAACCAGTATAGAAGCTGAATTAATTAGAAAAAGAACAGATAGGTCACCTAAAAAGACTTAGATTTTTGATATTAATTAATCTGAAAAATCAAGGATTAGATTAATTGATACAGAAAATGAGATTGCTAAATTATCAATAATTAGATAAGAAACATAATAAAAATAAGATACAGTAGAAATAAAAAATGAAAAATCATTTACTTAAACTTTAAAGAGTCTCATATTACTTAATTATAATGAAATACATTATTTAATTTTTGGTTGTTTAACAGCATTTGTTAATGGATCAATATATCCATTATTCTCTCAAGTAATAGCTGAAGTAATAGAAGCTCTATTAATTAATAATCCATAATTTAATATTGAAAATAGTACACCTGAATAGATTCAAGAAAAAGTTGATGCTTTAAAAGAATCTATTCTAAAATGTGAAACAAATTTATTTATTTTAGGATTTGTTTATTTTATTTCAACAACAATTGAATGTTTTTGCTTTAGTGTTTATTCTGAAAGATTAACTATAAGAATGAGATTAGAAATGTTTAATAAATTCTTACATCTTCCTGTATCATTTTATGATAATCCAAATAATAATGTGGGATTTTTAACTTCTCGAGTAACTACAGATGCAAGAACAGTTTAATAACTTTTTTAAAATATTATTGGTTTTAAATGTTAATATTATTCTGCTATTTTTGTAGGATTTACATTAGCATTTGTTTCATCATGGAAACTTACTTTATTAGCAATAGGAGTTGCTCCTCTCTCTTATTTTGGAAGTATATTAAGTTCAAAATATGTGGTTGGTTCATAATAATCATTTTGTGAAAAGGTTTATGTCACATGTAATAGGATCTTAATGGAATCTTTAACTAATATTAGAACAGTTTATTCATTAAGAGCTGAAAATGTATTGGTTGAATAATATACAAGACTTTTGGAAGAACCTAGTAATAAAGCAAAAAAATTAGGTGCTTGGATTGGAGTCAGTTCAGGATATGCATAAATGAAACCATTTCTTGTTAATGGATATCTTTTCTTTATGGGAACTCTACTTTTATATTATGATGGTTTAGCTGTACTTGGAATATATTAGACAATTTTAGCTATTATTTTTGCTGTTGTTGGAGGTGCTAAGGATGTTTATTTTCAGTCTGACAACTCTAAAGCTCAAATTTGTATCAACTATTATTTGAATCTATTAGAAGTGGAGGATGAATTTTAAAGAGAAATTAGATTAAAATCATCTAGATTGAAAATACCTATTTTAGGTAATTTGGAATTTAAAGATGTTATTTTTAGTTATCCCTAAAGATAAAATATATTAGTACTTAACAATTTAAATCTCAGAATTGATGCATGTTCTACAGTTGGTTTTGTAGGTTCTTCAGGATGTGGCAAATCTACATTATTTTAACTTTTATTGAGATTCTATGATATTGATTCTGGAGATATATTATTAGATGGTAAATCTATTTATGATTTTGATCTAAAATATTTAAGGTAACATTTTGCAATTGTACAATAAGAACCATAATTATTTAATGAATCAATCTACTATAATATAAAATATAATCTTAAGAATATTACTTAAGAAGATATTGAGAATGCATCTAAATTATCCCATGCTTATGATTTTATTATGCAAGAGGATTTTGGAGGTTTTTAAAAGAAAGTTGGTAGTAAAGGAAGTTTAATTTCAGGTGGTTAAAAATAAAGAATTGCTATTTCAAGAGCTCTTCTAAGAAATTCAAGTGTATTTTTATTTGATGAAGCTACAAGTGCATTAGATTCTAATGTAGAATCAATAGTTTAGAAATAATTAGAAGAATATTTGATTGGGAAAACATCCATTGTAATAGCTCACAGAATATCAACAATTAAGGTATATTTTTTTTAATATATTTTAGAATTGTAAAGTCATTTATGTTTTTGATAAAGGTTAGGTTATTGAATAAGGAGACTATAATTATCTTGTAAATTAAAAGGGTCATTTTTATCATCTCGAATAAGGTCTCCTTAATCAAGATCTATAAAATGAAATGAGTTTCTAATAAGAAGATATTGATGTATGATTATGTTTATTAGATTTTAATTATTTTAATTTAAATTTATAATCATTTAGTATGATCAATACCTTTAAAATATTTATTTTGTATATAATCCTTAACTTCCTCTAAAACTCCTTCATTCTCAAAATCATGAATAGAAAAGTCATATTTATTCTATATTTGCCTTATATTTTTGTTAACTATTTCATCAACAATCATTTTGTCTTCTTCAGGCACTTATTGTTTATTCCATATAGCTGGTTTCTCAAATGATGGAGCATTATTTAAAACAGATAGTAATTCATGAACTTCTCCTAATTCTTATAGAAATAATAATAATTATTTATTACCTTATATTAATTGTCTTCGATTCTACTCAACAGAAGGTTGTGATTATAAAAATGTAGAATAAATCTTATAATATTCCATATGTAATCTCTGAAAACTATCTACTTACTTTGATCCTTATAGTCTAGTGTTTTAATTAAATTATTCAACAAGCTCTTTAATTTCAGTAGGATTTGGTTTTTTATAGATGTTTTTAGCTTATTCAACATATCTTTTCCCATAGTTTTCAATTCTAGGTTTTCTTACATCTACTTAATTTAGATCAACTTTAATTTCAGGTTCTTTTACCTAAATACATATTTGATTATACCTATCCTTCATCAAAAATCTCTTTAATTTACTAGAACACAACAGCATTTCTTTCTAATAACATTGTATTAATTTCTTTCATATCCATAGCTTCAATAATTTTGAATTCAAGTTGCTTCAAGTGTAATTCCTCTTGTTTTTTTCTTACATCTGATCTAGCTTTTTCCATTTAAGATTTTTTTAATCTTTCTTATTCATTATTTTCAAAAACTCCTGAGCTTTTAAGAGTTTGATTAAAATTTTGTGTTGAATTAGGTTTTTAAGAAGAATTTGGTCTTCTCATTTCAATTTATTTATAATTCAAACTTTTAATATAAATTTATTCAAAATATTCTCTTAATAGGCTTATCATTATTATAAATTATCACATCTTCTTTTATATCTATTATCAATATGGAATTTTGAATTGATCACTTATTTTCATTTTCTAATTTAATTTATGATTCAAAAAAGAAAACAAAAAGATTATCATACTAAATTGATTTCTTTATTTTGGTATATTTCATTCAAATCAAAATTCAATATCTCATGGATTTCTTCATTATTCCCTTTACCATATAATTTAATATATAATTCATATAATAATTCAAGGATTTGTTTTATTGCTATAAAGTTTATTGACTATTTCTTGCATTTCTGTTTTTAATTTTGAAAATTCCCATTGTTCATCTATCTCTTATACTTCTTCAGCTGGTCTCAATACTTATGTTAAAATACTAAAATCAATGTCATCAGCCTATATATAAATTCTTAAATAAGTACTGGTTAAGGCAAAGATGATATTTTAGCCAAATTTTGTAATTCATTAATATTCTATAATTTTTATCCTAAAACAACTCCTGCATCTGATATCTGATTTTAAGGTTTCTTTTCTTCCTCTGCATCAGGAATATATTATATATCATCTGCTTTTCCTGCTGTTTCCCAAATATTCAATTTCTTTTCTACACGACTAAATGGTTAAATTATATCTTACTTATTTATATTTAATTTGACATTGTTTCCTGAAAAACCCCAACCTTATTTAGCCATTTTATTTATATAATTTTATAATATAAATGTTTTTTTTTCAATAATTGATTTAGATGTATGATTATAAAGAGATACATATATAAATTCAGATTTAATGAATCACACTTTTAAGATCCATTCTCAATAAATTAGTAAATTGGCCTTCATTAACAAATTCTTTAATAGAATCAATATCTAATTCAACTTAATCATCCATATATATAATAAATGTACTTATAATCCTTCTAAAATTAGTTATTAGATTTTTAATGGATTATTCCTATAATTTTCCTATTAAATAAAACTTTTTTTAACATAATATTCCAAAATATTTTTTCAATTTTCTTTATAATTCAACTGTTATCACTTCCTATATTATTTGACCATTGTGAATTCTATGATAATTGATAATCATCTTTCTAATAGTTTAATACATAAATAATTTTTTTTGAATAATCTTTGCTTAATCTTCATCTTTTTCTTCATAATAAACAACACATGTTTCATTGTTTGATTAAATTATAAAAGACTAAAATATATTATGTAATTTACTCTATTCAATAAGTTTTAGGCAAACTAAATTAATTAATCTCCTTATAAGGATTTAGGTATATCAACTTATGATGGTTGAGTCTTACGATTATCACTTGCAATTATTATTTTTTTATGCACTGAATCATAAATACCATTCAATAAACCATAACCTATAAATTCAAAAGCATTTTCAGGTTTTAATAACTTAAATATTTTAGCTATAAATGATATTAAAATTTACATTATAAATTTTGTGCTAATATTCTATGTTAAGGTTCTTAGAGTAAATAAATTCCTTTTTCTTCAGAGTATTTTAAATTATTAAGAACACGGAAAGAAATTCTATTAACAAATTAACTATAATTTTCATTTTTAAAAGTATATGAATTTCTTTATTATGTATTTTTTGTTTCTATAGCTAAGTATATAACTTATTTTCTTGATCCTACATACAAACTTCCCTCTATATTTGATTTAGCTAATTTAAATGTAACATGTCTTCTATAGTGATCAAATTTAAATTTCTTTTGAAGTTTAATTACTGCCTTTTCATGTGCTTTAGTATAAACTTTTAAAACATTTTCATTATGCCAATTTACTATATATCCTTTCAAATATTTTTAAGGTTTTTTAATAGTTTTTTTGACATTTTCAACTTTAAAATAAGTAGATTTAACTTTAAAATCTTCTGCCTTTGCTTAGAATAATTCCTATTCTTTATTGATGAAAATATTAATAGAAAAGAGTGATCCATCATTTTTATTAATTCCAGTAATAATACCAACTTTCTCAAATGTATAATTATTTGTAAGAGATACTAGTAAAAAATAAAAAATAATATCATACTTTCATCATCTGAATGTTAACTAATATCATCTTTCATTAAATCTGGTAATTACAAACTAACTTATTTTGCATATATTTTATTTTCATCATTTGGTACAACTAAAGTTTATGTTTAATGCTTTTATTCAATAGATGTTTAACTATCCATTTATGATTCTGATTATTCACTTTATTAATCTGATATTTTTTAATCTTATATATTATTTTGAGAAATTTCATTTTTTGATGCAAGATTATGAGTAGCATTAAAAAGTTATTTATTTTAATTTGTATTTTCTTCTTCTTAAATTTCATTACCTTCAAGATCTTTCTTTTCATCCTCATCTTCTTCAATAATTGTATTATTAGCTGATATTTTATCTTTAGTACCATTTGGAATATTATTTTGTAAAACTATTTATTATTATTAATTGTAATTATCTGTTTCACCAATATTAGAAGATCCTACCATAGAATTATTAGCACTCATTGTATTTAATTATAGAGTGAAATCTAAATTTTAATTTATTTCAGTCTATTAAATTTATTTTTATTTTTAATTTTCATCTTCATTTTTATCAAATTCAGATAATATTCCTTAGGATGATAATAAATTATTATTGAATTGACCAGTTTGATTAATTCTTTCATCATTTGAGTTTTCTTTTTCAACATATCCTTCACTATTTTAATTTTATTCCTCTTCAATTTATTCCTTTTTCACAGATCCAGCCTAACTATTTTTTTACATATACTCTTCTTCATCAATTTATTCTTAAACTAAAGGAACATCTTAAAAAGGTTCTACTTTAGAAAAAATTTAATCTGGATTTGTATGAGCAGCTTTATGAATTACTATTGAATCTGAATTAAATTATTATATATCTGCTATTGTAATAGGAGTATTGTAATTTAATTATTATTCCTCTATTTTTGGTAATATTTATTCTAATTTTTATAAATTAAAATCATATCGAATTTAATTATCATTATTTTTTTATTTAAATTAAATGTAAGGATCCATAGAGGATAAAGTTATTTGAGTAGAATTTATGATTAGAAATGGTAGTAGTTCATCTTGAAATTAAATAATTAATTCTTTGTTAACTTTAAAAGAAGAATTTATGTTAAGGATGAATATATGATCCAATTTTTAAGAAATATTATTACTTTTTTTACTTGATTTTCTTAAAGTGAATAGATTATAAAATATTAAATCGATTTATGATAATTCTTATGAATTCCAAGCTATAAATAAATATCCATTTTGCATTTGATTATTTTAATCTTTAATTTTAATAAATTAATGATCAATAGATTCTTAATATTTAGATCTAATTTATTAAATTCTTGATATTAATTTATTATTGCTTAATTTCCATTATTTTTATATAAAAATAATATGTTATAGTTTTTATTCTTCATGAAGTTTTTAGGCATTTTATTAAATTATTTCATCAACTTTATTTTCAACAATTTATTAATTCTATTATAAATTAACTTCATTTATATCTTCAACTATTTCTTCAAGATCATCAATTTATTTACAAGATATATTTTATTATCCAAAATTATTTTTGCTTGATGATTCTTAATCATAATCTAATTTTTTAGTAAAACTTTATAATGTTTCATCTCTTGTCATTGATGATCTTTTTTTATCATAATCTTAATTGATTTCATTTTTATTAATTTTATCATTAAATTTCTCATTAGTTAAATAATGTTCCTCATCTTCATCTGTTTTAGATTCTCTATTATTTATTGTTTAAACTGCAACCAAAGGTTAAGGTTCACTATCATCTAATTATTCTTAAATAAAAGGATCAGTATTAAATATTTATTTCTATTATTATTCAGATGATTTTTTTATCTCTCTAGATGTTTAAGGAGTATTCTTTTATAATTTTTATTAATGAATTTATTAATTCATATAACGAAAAGCTTCTAATTTTTGTAATTCTCTCTATTTTTAATCTTAAATGTACTTTAATTCTTCTTATTCTTTTTATGCTTACTAAATATATATAGATATTAAATTTACAATTTTAAGATTTTCAATATCTTATTATAATGCTTTAGCTTTTTCAGCAATTTCAGTATCTGTTTTTAAATTCTCTTCACTAACTTGATTTAAAGTTCTATTAGTTGCTGACATTTATTTTTTTATAGTAAATGCTTCCTTTTTAGTTATTTCAAATGCTTTTAATTTTTATGATTAAGATTATGTCATTATAGCTGATTATGGTCTAAGACTATGTCCTAATCTTTTAGTTTCTGATTAAAATAATCTATCCGTTACTTTTTTTGTAGTGTCAGTAATTTGATTTCTTAATGCACTTTAGGCATATTGACTTGTAATATTTGCTCTAATTTAAAATTTATGATTTAATGATGTAATAGCAATTTTTTATGCTTCAGCAATAGCTAATTATCTAGCAAACTCTTCATATATGGCTTTCAATTAAATTGTTAAGTAATGATGAATACCTAAATTATCTTCTGCTACTTTAAAAGCTGATGCATATGCTTATAAAGCAAATTAATATTTTTAAAAATGTTATTCTTGAACTCCTACATTATAAAAGGATATTGCAAGAGCACTTACACAACGTTAGAATTTAAAGTTTTACATTGATACATGATTCTTTATATAATATTAATATTCTTTATGACTTTCAGTAACCGCTTTCTTAGCATTCTCTAATGCACCTTCATGTCTATTTGCTAATATAAAATTATAAATACTCTTCAACTAAGGACAATACTACAGATAAATTTAAGTGGGTAACTGCAACCTCTTTTAAGTTGTATTTTCGAATAACTGCCAAAGCACATTCCAATTCTTTTAAGGCTTTTTCCATTTATCCAACTCTCCTATAATAGCATCCTAATCCATTGAGAATTTAGACTCTCAAATAGCCTTATTGTTTAGGTGTTAATCCTTTAAACATTTAATCACATCCTAAGAGTAATAATAATGCAGATGCAGGATCATTTTCAAGTATAGACATAGCACTAGAAACTATTAGTAAAGTGACTTTTGTAATTACTTAAACCTATGATTGCTAGCCTAGATATTTCTTTCCATCTGCAATCACTAGAATAAATTATAGTATTGAAATATACTTTAATTTAAAAGGAGAATTGCTTAATTGACTTATCGATTCGTAATCAACTCTAAAGCTTCATTTAATATTGGATCATCATGGCAATCTAATTCTTATCCTATTTAATTGATATCCCAAATTGCATTTATAGTGTTATTTTACATAGAAGGCATAGCTGACATTCTTCCATTTGAGTGTCCTGATGCATTTGATATTGATCTTGTTTGGAGTTTTTGTTAATGTTATTTGATAAACATCAAATCAATGAAATTAATAATTGAATTATATTAATCTATGAATATAGCAAAAAAAATTAAAGTTAATCATCTATGATTCTACATAAGATGAAATAATATTTAAATTATAATTATTATTCTTTTTCATTCTAATATATATATTGTAATAATAGAAATAAATGTAAGAAATTAAAATTATAAACTTCAACATTAATTTCAAGATAATTGCAGCATTATCTATAAAAATTCTTCTTAAGTAATTTAACCATCTCCATTTTAATCTAATTATTTTGATAAATTATCTAATTTCTCTTTTGGAATTTGCATATCTCTCAATAATTTCTTAACTTCCTATTTACTTAACTATCCACTATGATCCCTATCTATCTATTGAAATAACAACAATAATTTTTCTCTATTAAAATATTTCTTTTAATCTATAGTTGCTATGATAAATTCTATTTTGATAATTAATAAATATATACCTTAGTAATCAATTCTACCACTACCATTCTAATCAATTTTAGCAAAAATAGTATTAACTTCCTAAACAGCTTAATCAGATGAAAACATTGTACTATAAACTTTAAGTAGTTCCTCTTTAGTTAACTATCCATCTTTATTTAAATCAAATTTTTAGAATTCATCCATTAATTTTTTCTTATCTTATTCAGACATCATATTTTCAGCAATATAATTTAACATAGCATTTTACATTTGAGATTATTACTAATTTAAATATATATATACTTTAAAATCTTTCATATGTTTTGACAATTATTTATTAGGTTTTGTTACTATACGAGTTCTATTTAAAAATATTGGATGATTAATCACTTCTGTAGCTGTAGGTCTCAATTAAGGATTTGAACTAAGCATTTTAGAAACTAATTGTTTCATTTCAGGATTAATATTAACCCATTCTGATCCATCAAAATTAACTACACCTCTTTATATAGCAGTTTTTATAGCCTAAGCATCACGACCTTAAAATGGCATATGAGAAGTAAGAAAAAAATAAAGTAAACATCCACTTGACCAAATATCTGCCTTCTATGTTAAAGGACTGTTAATAGTTGTTTATTTAAAAACTTCTGGCGGTTTAAAAGATATTTCTTAGATACTACCACTTGGTTTCCATGACATACATAAACTTTTCATTTAATTTGATATACCAAAATCTATTAGCTTTATATTTTCCATAGATTTATTAGTAAATACTATACTATCTAATTGGATATTCCTAAATTTAAGAATTTCTAATAATACCCATGGACCATCCCTTAATTATGTAAATACTGTAATCCTGCCATAATCTGACAGAATACATCTATCATTGTATATTGTTACAACTAACTAAACTTATCTAATTAAGAGAGTAGATTTCCACCGTCACAAAATTCTTATACCAAATACAAACGATTATCATTAAAATAGTAAGATAAAGTATTTATCAAATTCAAATGTTTCTTTCATAAGATAATAGGTCTTACAATTTGCATTAATTAATTGATATTTCTTTCCAGTTCTTACTTCTCTTACACAGTAAGAGTTTAGCAATTAAAAACCTTTGCAATTCTAGATGCATTGTTGCTCTTAGAAACAATCTTTTTTATATAATTTCTTGATGCTAACATTGTTACTTAAAAACATTTACTAACTAATGGATCTAATGCATGGAAAATATAATCTGTTTCTATTTTTTCAGTCTCTTAAATTGAAGGAGCAGAAACAAGATTTATACTCTAAGCAGCTTGATTTGAATTTCGATTTTGAGGTGAGTTCAATTTGCTCTCTGGTTTGCCTGATTTTGTGCCTACACAACCCATAAGTGATGAAAATATTATATTATTAATTGAACAAAAAATCTTTAAGAAGGCACAAACATATACCTTTATTATCTTTTAAATTCAACCTAACAAGATTAAAATATATGCCATTTAATTAATAAAGATATTCATACCATGTAAGAAATATAATTAATAGTAATAATTTGAATAAATCCATAGATTATTTTTACATGACAGCAAAGCCAATAAACGCATAAATATAAGAAATATCGCAATGAATTTATTTAATATAAAATACTATTTTTTTTCAATACTATAAGTAAATGATCATTTATAGAAATAAATTCAGATGCTAAATAAATAAATATTACATTTGAAATTTACCCATACTATTTATCATCTAGTTTAATAAAAATAAAGTTATTTGAAATTCAATTATTATTTTTGAAGTTGCATAAGGTAATTTTGCTATCATTTTCTAAATAGTTAATTTTCAATTTTATAGATTCAGATTAAGTAATTCAAAAGATTGAAATAATTTTACAATTTAAACATAATTGGATTAAATACAAAATAACTTAAAGTAATAAAAGTGTGTAAAAAAAATAGCATTAAATAAAAGTTGAAATATTATTGTTTTTATTAATATTAAAATTAATGGATAAGTTAAATTGTTGGGAATATTGTAATCCATCAAATTTCAAGGATAAATTACCAAAACCATACAAGTATATAATTTATAAATCCTAACAGTTTCATAAACAAGATTATGAATACAATGATTTTAAATGAAGTTTATAATAAAATTTTCGAAATTGAAAAGTATAGAGATGATCCAAATTATGAAGGAAATTTAAGAACTCTTCCACCTTAAGGGATTTTTGAAATACCATAATTAACATATATTAGTCGAGATAGTTCAGATAATTTAATAGCTGCTGGTGATTCATAGGGAAATTTGATGATACTTGATTTAATCAAAAAGATTAGAATTGCAAAGAAAGAAACAAATGGTAAACGCATTTTAAAAGTGTGTTTAAGCGATAGGGAATAAGCTATGGATGAATATAAGAATGTTTGTGCGTAAATGTTAAATATTATAAAATAGAATTGGAGTAATACATCATAATGATCCAACTGTTTATATTTATCGATATAGAATTAATGAAAATAAAATTTAACTTCATTATACAATTACAATATCTAAAGATAAAAATTAAATAGGTGAATATCCTGTAGACATAAATATTAGTTAATATTGCCAATATATATCAATTGCATAATATAATGGTTTTATTAAAGTATTTAGGATTCCAGATATTAAAATTGAAAATCAATAGACTTTTAATTAAAATAATAATAATATTGATGCTTAAAGTCCTATATAAAATTAATCAAAGATGGTTGGCAGAGTTAGAGAATATCAATAGATTGGAACTCAATAATAATAGAATGTTAATGTATAGAGTTCACCTCTTGATATATAATGCATAGAACTGACTGATCTAGTGTATTAAGTGAAATTTAGAGGAGTAAAAAAATAGTTGAATTATAATGGAATACTTGAGAAAATGAAAACTGAAAGTATTAAGGAATCATAATAAGTGGAAGATAAGGTAGATCTAAAGAAGAAGTCTGGTGTTCCTAATAAAAAAAATATAGAATCATCATAAGTAGTAGAAGAGATATTATATGATGAGAATTAAAATACAACTTAGATTAGTGATGAAGATTATCCAGAATAAAAATTTAAGGCACTAGTGGAATTTGTTACAGAAAGATTAAATTTTTAGAATGGAAACAGAACTTTTAATGCTTTCAAATAATAGGAATGTGTTACTGGTATAGTAGTTGGATGGACAAATACAACTATTTTAGAAATACATAAATTTGCAAATGTTTGTAAATCTGCATTACCTGAGTATTTAAATACTTAGTAAATTTAAACAACTATTTAATAGAAAATGAAACAATAAATAATTGAAATTTAAATTTTATATCCTATAAGTTCTTTAGCAATATCAAAAAATTCAATTAATTTAGGTGTTGGTTTAAAATAAGGGAGTGTATTTCTTTATGATCTCATAATGGAATAAGAAAAATGTTATTTGGATAAACATATATATAGTTGTACTTTTATGAAATTTTGTGAAGATAATAGATTAGTATCAGCATCATATGATGGTAGTGTTAATATTTATGATACATAAGAATGTAAATTATTATGCAAAAGAACTTAATAATTTAGAAAGGGAACAAGAATGAAAATTGAAGAATAAAAATAAGGATTATGGAGAATAATTGGAATGAGTGTTAGTAATACAGGATTGGCAGTTGCTTAAGATGCATAATAAGAAGTTAGAATTTATGATGTTTGGCATGGTGAAAAGATAGCTAAATTATCACCTTAATAAGTAATGGATGAGAAATCAAGATAATGGGTTATAGAAAAACCAATTGTAGCATGTTTTAAAAATGAAATATTAATATCTGCTTTTACTAAAATGGATTCTACAAAATAAACCACATTATAAATTTTTAAGATTTTTGATAATCTTGTTAATTTATTTCCTGGTTTGGCTAATATTTATAGGAAAGGAGTGAATAAGGAAAAAATTATGAATTTATTTTAGAGAATAAATAAATCTGAATTATAAAATACTTCATTTGAAATACCAAATTTATAGGGTCCATCATCAAATTAAGTTAGAATTACTGGATAAGAAAATAGGGCATCTTTATAAAGACCAGGGTATATAAAATTTATTTAAATTTTAGATCTATTCATAATTCAAATAGAAGCAATAAATTAAATAAATTACCATCTGCTATTAATTAAAATGGAAGATAATCAAGAGCTATTTCTTTGGTTAATTCACTTTAAAAATCAAATTAATCTGAATAATAAGTTGATTTTAATTCATCTTTTTAAAGCAATATACCATCCTAATTTACTTATAGATAATAAAAATAAAATTCTAAATAAATTGTTCTTACTAAAGAAATACTTCATCCTGAACAGTTTCTATTAGAAAAGCAAAAGATATAAATTCCATTTTTAGTAAAAGATGAATTAGAAATGGTATAACATTGTAGAAATAGAAATTTTGAAAAATTAGTAAGAATAGAGAAAGTGAGTAATATGATTCAATAAGTGGGTTAAAAATTGGCTATAGAAGAAGAAAAGAAGAAACTATAAAAACGTTACCTTCAATTATCGATTGCTAAGTGAAATAATTTATATATATATATGTAATTTAATACTATAATTATATTTATGTATATAAAGTATTCATCCAACAAAATTAATTTGATTTTTTGGGAATGGAGTTTTGGTACTTCTATTATATTCACTTTTTGGATCACCATTTGTAATTGGATTACGATATAAGTTTTCTCTATTTGGAAGATTGGAAGTTTTTAATTATTACTTATAAACTAAATCTGAGTTATTTCCTGGTTCAGTAACTTTTATACAGTGAGGTTTAAAAGCTTATTCTTTACGATTATCAGTAAACTATAAAATATTATAAATGTAGATACATCAAAAACACTAGTTGGTTAATTGCTATATTGAGTAGTCCTTACAGTAGGTTTATGGAGAGGAGCAGCATTAGTAATTAATGTAGTGACTTAAAATAGAGGAGTAGATAATTTTTCAGTTTATTTATTAGCACATTTCTCTCTTGCAGCTTAGTACAATGCAAGATCAGATTCCTTCATGGATCTATCCTAAGATTTAATAGGTTTGCTTAATTAGTATTCTGAACGATTGGATTATATAGAAGTAACAGTCTTGAAGTAACTTTCATTTTCCATTGATTTGATCGTTAATTTTTTATATATAATTAAATTTAATAAATAAATAAATATGCTCTTTCTTAGTAATTTATTTTTAGGAATTGAAAGAGATGAGTGATTTGAAAATGATCTAAAATAAATTAGCTTTTATTAACAAATAATTATTAATTATTTTTATATTATGCAATAATTAGTTCGAAAGTACATATTAAAGAAACTAAAGTCATTTGTTCCTGATTTAAATGAACATTAGATATCTTTAGCATTAAGCTAAGGGTATTTGTAATTGGATAATATGGATATTGCACCATTACAGATAGAGAATTTTATAATCACAGCTACTGTTTCTTGTTTTATAATGAAGTTATAATGGAGTTCGTTGCATTTGAAGGTGGAAATATAGAATGTCAAAGTGATGATATAAAAAGCATAAGGCTTGAAGAAATAAGAGAAAAGTAGTGAAAGTAAAAAAAGCAAAATGTCTATTCCAATTAGCATAGCATTAGATATAAATGATGTAGAGATTAATTTTATGAATATGTTAATGATAAAAATAATGCATTTAAAATGTGAGATAAAGAATAGACAGAATTTAATAAATGGAGAGTTGAATGAATTGAATTTGAAATTGAATTACAATGAATAAAGTTTTGCATAAATAGGTATATAATAAGTGAGATGGGATGTAAATATAGAGTAGGAAACAGTATAAACATATTTAGAATGTATTTATCTAAAGGATATGACAAATTAGAGGATGTAAAAATTAGTTAAGTTGTTGAAGATAGGTTTGAATATATCTAAAAATGTGTATAATAAACCGTTGGTAAAGATTTCAATTGAAAAAGGTGTTTGTCATTGGAATGCTAAGGTGATACATACACTAATTTATAGTGGAATTGATTTTGCTTTATAATTTATAACAATGCCTTAAAAATAATAGATAAGATAGACAGATATGGAGAATCCAGATTCTTTAGCAATATCAATAGAAGTTAATAGTATAAAATTACATTGTCAAAACAATTATATTCCATTGGGTCTATTGTAGGGATCTAATGTTACAGTATTTATAAAAGTAAGTAAATACATTGGAGATGTAATAATTGAAGGTAAAGATTTGTGTTATTATGAATAATCAAATTATCCTCATTAGATGATTGTAAAGAAGGGATTTCAAATGATAAAGAGTGAATAATTGATAATTTTGATAAAGATTTATGATGATTATTGTCCATTATAAATGATTAATAATGATCTTTATAATTTTGTAGAAATCAAATTAAAGAAAGGATAGATTTATTATATGTAATAACCATTTTTAAGATTCATGGATTGGTTAATTGAATAATTTATATCTTTAATTATCAAGGATTATGGAGTTACTTCAATTCCTATAGATATTATTGAATAAAAACTTAGAGATCATAGATTTACATCAATAAAATTAAGTATAGAAGATATTTGTGCATATTGTAAACCAATTATAACTAGTGATGATGGATTAAAATTAGTTTGTTCTTCTTTTGCTCTTCATACAGAAATAAGAGAATGTAATGATAGAAGTAATATGACAATATGGGAAACATTATTATGTATGGAAATAAAAGATATTTTAATAAGTGTAATAATTAATAAAGGAGAGTCTATTATATCTTAAATGATGAATTGTGAATTGATAGTTAGTAAATGTGGGTTCTCATAATTGTATATTCTTAAATAGATTCCATTAGATCGTACATTTAAGATTAACATGTATCTATCTGCTCCTAAACTTTATGTTTCCAAAAAAACGTATTTACTAATAATGCGATTATTATTTAATAATATTCTTTATGATGATACTCTTGATTAGTTGTATCTATATCAAATTAACAAACCTAGTAATTAATTAAATTAATGAAAGCCCCTATTCTCCTAGAACTCAGGATGGATCAAATCAATCTAAAATGTGAAGATGACTTGTCACTCATTGGTAGTTAACTTCTTATACGTTTTCATCGCTAAGTAGATTAATCACAAATATTCTTAAATCTATTAGATTTTGTTGCCTATCACAAATAACATTTAATTCTATCTAAATTAAATATTGATGATTAACATTTTGTAGAATATAAATAAACTAATAAATAAACTGGATAAAAAGATATTTAAATATTAATACCAGGAGTTAATGGAACTCTTAATTTAAATTGGTTATTTACTTCTATTAATTTCTTTTTAATTGATGATACTGTTTAATTAATACTCCCTTTTGATAATAATGTTCTCAAACCTTTAAATTTAGAACTTATTATTCAATAAGTTGATGTTTTACTTTAACCATTACATTAAGATACTACATTCTAAGCCAAAGGTAATTTACTCTTGGTTTTCATTAAAAATTAATCATAAGATATACATTATGCATATCATTAAGAACCACTTTTTGATGATAATACTCCTAGTAGTTGTATGAAAATTGAATCAAGTTAACTTACTCTTTATGTAAATGAAAATGGTAAAGAACCAAAAGAAGTCTTTCAACCTATTTCTGTTTAATGGAAATCATAGAATTTTTAATGTTATTGTACATAAACACATTAATTTCTTAATGAGTCTAATCTCAATCTTGAAAATCTTAAATTATATTTAACTATTGAATAAGGACTTAAATTAATAGATTTAATTAAATATCTCATTTAATCAATGTGGGATGCTAATTAATTTGGAGATTAATGGAATGAAAGATATTCTCTTATATCATAAAGTCGTAAATCTTTTAATATAGATCATCTAGAACTTTGGTTAATGAGTTCCAAAAAAAACACTATTGTACCAATCCTTACTACATTTATATCATTAACTCCACTTTTTCTTCATTAATCATATTAAAAAATGTTATTATCTGGAAATATTAAAATAGAAGCTTCCTATTTCAATCCCATGATTGGTATTTTAGAACCAATTCTTGAAAAATTTTCTTTTGACCTCATGTTTTTAAGAAATAAACTTAATACACCTAATATACATCTTCAAATTGAAACCAATAAAAGTAGTAAATTTTCTTAATTAAATATTGTATTCCATTAAAATCTTATCATTTTATTAAATGATCTTTATAATGTCAATAAAAAAAAGAAAGATCGAAAGAAAAGTACTAGAAAATCAATTAATATTTAAGAAATTATGGAATCACCATAAAATGAAACTATTATTCTTTTTAACATTTAAAATTAAAGTGGATATGATCTAAGTATTACTATTGATGAAAAAACACTTACTATTAAAAATGGTAATAAAACAGATTTTAATGCAACATTAAGTTAAATTGATATCTGGAGAAAATATAATAGACTCAATGTTGAATTTTACACTCTTAATAAAAAATTAATTAAACTAAATAAAGTTGAATAAAATTCATAATAACCATTTAAAATTGATAGATAATAATGTTATCTATATTTTACATCATACATTAGTAAATTAACAAGAATCATTAAAATTCAAGGATAATTAACTATTACTAATTGTACACTATTTGAATAATAAATTGATATTATTCATCATAATAATGTAATTTGGAATAAATTACTATAAGTTAATGAAAGAGTTGCACCTCCTGGAGAACTCATTTCAGATTAATATTTCATTAGATTTACTCTTTATAAAAGAATATAAGAATTTTCTGTAAGTTTAAAAGCTCTCTTACATTCAGAATTTACATATTTAGAAATACCTTAGGGTGATTAATTTGTTATTCTAAGTTCAGAAGATGAATTTCAAAATACTAGACATTTCAAATTGAGTGCATGTCTTGTTGTACATAATTCTTTACCATGTCCTCTCAATATAACAATTAAGTAATTAATTTAATAATTCTAGTGAAGAATAATAAAGTATTGCAGTTAATGATTCATTATAATTCTATTATTACACTTCTAAAAATTAGATTGATTATTCAGTTGAAATATTAGAATTTCAATCTAAAGAAATATTTAAATATTAACCACTTGAATCAAATTAATAAACAGAAATATAATTAATTAATGAAGAAGGTAGTATCATTAAAATTATGTAAAAGATTACATTAATTAAAGGATCTTTATTTTTTTATTTCTATCCTAAAATATGTCTTATTAATACTACATCAATAAATTTAAATTATCATACTCTTGTTAAGAATTAAAAATTAGATATAGCTTTATTCAATAATAATTATACATTCCTATTTAATGAAGCTAATTTAATTCTATCTTATAATAATTATTATTCTAATGAATTTACTATTAAAGCTATAGGTGATACTAGTGTTGAAATTAAAGTTAGAAAATAGTAATAATTTGAATTACTTGAATTTGGAATCAATATTAGTCTATTAGAAACTGTTAAATAATTAGGTTTATATAGTACTATCATTGAGATTGCTCCTAGATATGTAATTATAAATTAAACTGAAAATGTGATGTAAGTTTAGTAATAGAATTCATATGGTAGTCCATTTAATATAGATCCTAATTCAAGATTAGCATTTAATTGGACTGATTGTACAAAAGAGTATTATTCAATTTCATTTTTATTTTAGGAAAATGATAGCTATCAAATTCAAAAATACCAAATGGAGTGAGGGTTTATATTTATCAGATATGAGAACCATTCATTTTAGTATGTTACTAAGGTAAGAAGATAAATCTAAAATATTTATGTAATGTGTTATTGTTAAAAAGAAAGCTACATTCTTTGTAACTTTTCTTATAGAATAAGCACCTTATAAAATAATTAATTAATGTTCAAATTATTCAATTAGATTTGCTTAGATTGGTTCTGAATAAGAAGAAAATATAGGATATAATTAATTCATTGAATTTTCTTGGACTTTTCCATCTTTAAAACCTATTTTGATATTTAATGTTACTAATGAATAAGATCATTGTGAATTTCAATTTGATTTATTTAAATCTGATTCTACATTTTGTTAGAAGATTAGTGTTACAAAAAGTATCTATTTTAGTATTTATTTTGAAAACAGTGTTAAAGTTATTAAAATAATGGAAAATTAGGAATAATAATTTATTAGTGATTAAATTAATAAATTAATTTATATTAATTTATAAATGATCACAATAAGTATTATAATGAATGAAATTAAGCCTAAAGAATTGAATTTGATAACTTTAAGTAATTTTGAAGTTGGCATTTAAGAAATTAATAGAATTATATCATATTAATTTAAATTAAAATTTATTAATATAGATAATAATTATTCTTATGATGCTTTAAATTAAGTATTATTAACACCATAATAATTTTAAAGTTATTTAGAATAATAGAATTATGCTATTGATATTAAATGGGCAGTTAATTAATAACATGCTAATATTTTAATGATAGAATATTTCTTTGCTTATATAGCACCATTAGAACTTAAATTAGATTAAGAATATCTATATTAATTAATGGCTCTTAAAAAAGCATTGACTTTTGAAAAATAAGATATTAATATCTAACATTTTACAACATCTAAATATTTATTTAATTAAAATAAATCATACTAAACAAATTAAAATCCTTTTTATGAATGGATGATTGTTGAAATTCCTCCACCATCTGGAAATGTTTATATTAAATAATTAATACTTCCTGTATTAAAAATTAGATTTTCTTTTTAAACATTATATTAATAAAATCAAAATTTCATTTTAAATGTTATTGCAAATTCATTAGATTTTGCTGTAAAGAATATTGATAATGCTCCAATAACTTTAAAGGGTGTTAAAATGGAAAACATTTTTGATACTTAATAAGGTCTTTAAACAATTATTAAAGAACATTATAAATTTGCTTTATTAAAATAATTCCTATAAATTTTAGGTTCAATTGAAATTCTAGGTAATCCAACCTCATTTTTAAATCGAATTTCAACTGGAGTAGTTGATTTAATAGAAAAACCAATAGAAGCTATGTCTTTAGGTCCATTGGAAATGGGTTTAGGAGTATTAGAAGGAGCATCATCACTAATAAAAAATACTGTAGCAGGAGCATTTTATAGTGTAAATAAAATAACAGGAAGTATTGGAAACTAAATAAGTTTATTATCATTTGATGAAGATTATATATCATCTAGAAGGAAATTTATGTAAAGAAAACCATCATAATTATTTGAAGGAATTTATTTGGGAATTCATGCATTAATAACTGGAATAGGAGATGGAGTAGTAGGATTCTTTTCACATCCTTATTAACATGGAAAAAGAGATGGAGCTGTTGGGATATTGAAAGGATCAACAATTGGTATTGCTGGAGTCATTATAAAACCTTTAACAAGTGTATTTGATGCAGCATCTAAGACAGCAGAAGGATTAACTAATACAGCCACTTATTTTGATGATCATCCAAATACATTAAGGATGAGAGATATTAGAGCATTTTATGAAAATAGTAGATACATAAAGGCATATAATGAAGATGATTCCTTCTTTTTAAATTATTTGAGTAGTTACAGTATTGTTTTAATTGATGTTTTTGGGTTATATGATTTAGAAATGAAAAAAGATATGCATTTAGTAATGACACAAACTTTGTTGTTTTATATGAATAAACAAAGTGGCATTAAATGGCAATAACAAGTAAATTCTATTAGAGATTATAAACTATATTAAGATGAGAATAATCCATCAATACTTAGACTTTATCTATTTTTTGAGAAAGAATAAATACTGAAACTTAAATTTTCAAAGGTGCCATATCAAGATTAAATAAATTAGAAACTATAAAATATGATAGAATAAAGTTGAAAAATCTTATATAATTTCATATATATCATAAAGGTTCTATTATTTTCAATAGCCAATCTTTGCCTTTATATTCTTTCATCAAAGGTTATAAGTTATTTCTAACCAGATAATGATACTAATCAATATAATTTCTATCTCTAGAACTTAATAAATCTAAATTGGTTAGATTTCTATCATATGAACAATAAATGAGATTTTCAAATCCTAAATATTGATCATTAACTTAAACACATAAGATTAGATTCTCAATTCTTATACCAAACTTCCCTTCTTCTTAATATCCAAGCTCTAAAAATAATTAATTAATGTATTTTACCATTAGATACAATCATACCAGGTTGGAATACTTAAGATCTATATTTATTAATTCTATGAGGTCCTTCATGTACATTAAAATAAATATCCAACTCAATGACCAGTACCATGTCCATAATCTAAATTAACTTCCCATAACCATCTTCTTGCTAATACATCCATATCTCTTCCATGAATCTTACTTTTCTTTGGCCATATCAATCTTTCTATATCTAAATTGCCTAGAAGTACTCTTTTATAAACATTCTTTTCTTCTATTGTTGGTTATTTGAAATGATATGTTTTTAGTGAAATTATTAGTTCCATCTAAATATTGACCACCTGAATCAATCAAATAAATATAATTAGGATTTATTATAGATTTATTATTTTAAGTTGAATGATAATGAACTATAGCAGCATTAGCTCCACTACTAGAAATAGAATCGGATGATAATCCCATATTATTATTTTATTTAAAACGATATTAAGCCAAATACTTCAGCTGCTTAGTATTTATCCAAAATTTCACCATTTAATGATTATTTCTCAAGCCATCATAAATAATGGATTCACCAACTCTTATATGTGATTCCTTATATTCTTATATTTCTCTTTTATTTTTTATAGCTTTAAGCAATTCTATTAGACATACAACTTAATTTATTAATCTATCATTGATTTCTAGAGGAATTACCGCTGAATTGATGAAATTATCATTAAATACATCTAAAAATAGGTTTTATTTCAATTTTATTATCAGTCGAATACTGTTTCACTTACTCATTAACTTAAACTGGATTAATATATTATATTTCTTTATAATCATCTCTTAAATATAAATAGCTCTTAAATAAAGGATTAAGTTTTATATCTTTTCCTCTTAAATTTAAAACCCATCCTATTTTATTCTAATTTGAAAATTAGAATATATTTTGCTTTTTTCTATTACAGATTTTAAAATATTTAAGAAATCTTTTTATTTTTGGATATACTCCAAATCATGAACAATGATAGTGAATCTTAAGTTTTATTTGTCTATATTAAATCTATTAAATTTTAATTGATTGCCTTAAGATTTACATTCCACAATGAGGTTGTGCTTGATTTTCTAAACACTTTTTATAATAAGAAAATAATACTATGACTAATCAATAGAGGATCATAACCTATTGTTTATCCTTTCAAACATAACTTCCATGCAGGTTCCAATTTTTGTAATTCCCATCCATTTTTCTAATTGTTTTTCAGCTTACAAATGGTAAGTTGAATCTGTCCATAAATAAGATATAGTTTTAGTGATTCAATCTTACACCTGCAGATTCATCAAATACAGAGATAAAAGCTAATCGTTAATTTGAGTCAGAAGTATACTCAGACTATTATTTAAACACTTAAGTTTACATCATGAGTATCATAATGAAGTACTATATATGCTTCAATATACTTTAAAGCCATCAATTCTCTTAAAAGATTTAGCTTATTATTAACCTTTTACATATAAAATGTAATAAAATAAGTTATTGCAGACCATTTAACATGTTTATAATTTGAGGAATCCTCTTTTTAGAGAGAAAATAATAATGCTTTGTTTAGTCTATATTCAAGAAAACAAATCAGAATATCCAATCAAAGTATTACTTGAGTAGTTGCCATTTTAATTTGATGAATTACTTTTTGATTACATCAAGAACTTAAACTCAGAAGATCCTTTCATATTATCAAAGGCTTTTGATTTATTATCTCACAAAGCAATGCAAAAGATTTTGGATAGAAATACATACATCAAATATGAAATACAGTTGCTTAAATATATTGCTTAATAATATAAGGTCTAATAAAATTATAATGTGGCTGTTAAGACCATTAAATATGTGTTGGAATTAGAATAAAAAATAGAACCTAAAGATTAAATTAGTATCGTATCTAGTCGAATGAGTTTAGTAACTATATTATCTACAGCTGGTCAACATACATAAGCTCTTAATGAATTAAATGCTATATAGCATTTCATAAATCAAATTTAAGATTAGAAACCATTTTAAAAACTGATTTGTATTATGTATTATAATTATGGAGTTGAATGGGAACATTTAGGTTAATTATTTTAATCATAAATTAATCTCTCATAAGCACTTGAAATTGCAAAAGCTAATAAATTTGATGAACTCCTTTAAATTGTAGAATAAGCCATTGCAAATATTAAGAAATCTAAATGATTTAACTTAATTTTAAATCACTAAATCAATTATATCTTTTTATTATATACAACATATTTTAATAATCTTTATTAATCATTCTACTTTTATATGAATTTCATCCTTTGCAAGACTTTTTTTCTTTTGATCTACTTCCTCTTCATTTACAGTCCCAATAAATGGCATTGGTAATAAGGATCCTACAGTACAAATTAGAATTAGAAGCCATAAATGAGTAAAATTCTAATTTGTAATACCTAAATAGAAAGTGAGGACTATTCCTATTTATTTTGAAATTGTATTTCCTAAATTCATAGTTCCTGTTAATAAACTATATACAGTTCCTTAAAAACATAGATAATAATTTATATACCTTCCAAATTCTTAGGACACATCTTAGCTCCCAAAACAAGTACTGGTAAAGTATTTATTTCTTATAGGGTTTACATTAAAATATTATCCCACATACAAAATTAATAATCTGGGATATTGTAATCAATATTTATTCTAGTAACTAAAAGTAATGATAAAAATGATGCAAAGAAATAAAGCATATTTGATACAGATAAGAATTGCCCAAATGGATATCTTCTAAATAAATAATAAACTGTAACTGCCATAATGGTACAAAAACTATAAGTATATCTTAAAGTTATAAAAAATTCATCATTTAATTTAAGTTGATTAATGTAAAAATAGAACATTGAAGTTGCAGGTGAAGGAGTAGCCATAAAAAAGAAGATAAATAATAATGGTCTATATATAACTGGATCCAAAATGAACTTTTGTAAATTGGCTCTTAATTGTTTCATTTTTATTTCATCAACCATTTATTATTCTGGAAGAAAGATTGATAAAATTGCAATCAGTAATGGAAATAAAGATAAGACCTAAAAATCTTATAAATCTAAATATTATACTATTCCTATGAATAGGAAAATTAAATGCAATATATGTATAGAGATATCCTCCAACTGCTCTCATTCCAAAAAATAAAGCTACATTCCTGCTTGTATTAACTTCATGACTTTATTCAACTAACACTGCCTCAGCAATCACATTGCAAAATACAATGCATAATTGTATTAGAAATATTATAACGAATGCCGTTTTCCGATCAACATCACTTATTGCCATAAAAGTTTCTAGTAAAAAGCAAATCATAGCAAAAATAAACAAATAAGGTTTTCTTTTATATTTTGCAATGGGAAAAATATCTGAACAAAATCCCCATATAGGTTTGATAATCCTTTGAAATAATATGGCTTCCTTACCATGGAAATGACATTATGAGTTTGAGGGTTTCAAAATCATGTAAAGTAAGTTATATCTTATTTGATTGGTAGAAAATATAGGATAAATCACTAATTTGAATGGCTCCTTAAAGTATTGCAATGAATGATAATAAATTAAAAATCATTATATTTAGTTAAAAAGAAAATATCAGATTTCAAAAAAAAATTAATTATATACTACAAAATTACTTTAAATAGTATTCATAAAACACTTAATTTTTATTTGATAGATAAGAAATTCAAATATGATTTTAACTTAAGGATTTAGATTATAAACTGTTATGGAAGTAATAATAATAAATTTTTATCTCAATTCAAATTTAAAAGTCTTTATTATTAAAAAATATATTAATTCATCTTTTCATCAAGACTATATTACAGATTGATAATTTCGTTACAATTATGATAGATTTCTAAAATAATATATAAATTTTACTTAAGTATCTTTGAAAATCTTCATCTTCTATCTTCTTATGATAATATACATAATCTTCCAAAAAATATTATAATATCGAATTTAAATATAATGATTCTGATTTATTATTAAATTAGGAGAATACTTTATTAAGGATTTCAGTTGGATTAGACATTAAATTAATTAGAATTTAATAAATTTCTAAAACTTAATATTGTAATAGCACTTAACTATTTTGTAAGGAGAATTTTAATTACTATAGAGCAAATCTTTAATGACTTAAAATTTCATTTGATGCTAAAGGATCTAATAAATATTTATTAAATGATTTAATAAAATGCTTATAATCCATTTTATTTTTTAATATATAATATTTTTAACCTTTTCTAATCAAATTATCATGAAATTTGAATAAATTTTTAAGTAATTTAATATAATTTTGAGCATCAATATCTGTAAAAGTATCAAAATCTTTGTATATTAAATCTCTTCTTTCTTTTCTATTATTTGTCACAAATTCTTCATATTTTTTTAAAACAATAACTGGAACAGCATCTATTATTTCTAAAATTTTAGAAATCTTAAGTAATTTTTCTTGATTTTATTCTTAACTTTGATTAAAATCTTTAATTTGATAACTATTTGAATAAGTATGAAAAATTTTAGAATTTTAAGTTATATTAACAGATTCTCTTTCTGTATCATTACAAGATAGCATATTTTTATGAGATATATCACTTAAATTATTCAAGATTAAATCATCATTCTACTTTTCATCTATTATCATTTATTCACTTTTTTATTGGAAAAGCAATTCCTAACTATTCTCTATTTATAATTTATCATTATCCTCATAATGATCTGTTAAAATATTTTAATTGAAATCTGTGTAGATTTGATCTTATCCTCTTCCATTTATATCTCCCTTATTTTCTTATGTTGCCATCTCACAAAAGTAATCAGTACCAAAATCTGTTTAAACAAATTCTTCTTTTTTCATTAAGTTATGATCTTAATTGTTTTTATTTTAACTTATATTTGGTTTTTCTAATTCTTCATTTTTTGTATTTAAGTTCTCTGATATATCCTCATCATACTTATTTCTTGTCTTCTAAGAAAATATTGGTAACAATAAAACTCTAAATTAAATAATTCCATTACAGAAAAGGTATTAGGATTGTCCATAATCCATAATTCATTTATTTATAGTATTCCAACTCATTTTCAGCTAATTCTCTATCTCTTATTATAGTTATTCCACATCTATTTAATTCTAGATATATACATAATTAAAAAAAGTAAAGAATACTTAATAATCCCAAACATTAATAAATAAAAATTTATTTTTCTTCATAAGTTTAACATATTCATATTTTATAAACTAGCTTATTATTTAAAAGGTTGTAAATTTTAATTATGCTCCAAATATACTATTTATAAAATCAGTAATTCATTAATAAACAAAAAACTATTAAGAAATTTTAATCATAAAAAATAATGAGGAATAATTTAAGATAATTCTAACTAATTTTATGTGTTATTTATTGATTTCTTAAAATTCTTTAAATATAATAAAATCTAAATTAAAATAAATTATCTTAAACAAATTAAGTGAAAGAATAAGTCTAGTTTTAAATAGATAATTTGAAAATTTGAGAATAATTATTAAAACTGTTATACAAAAATATTCAGAAATAAAATTATATGTAACTTGAAAGTATTTAATAAAATTATAGATTAACAAAAATAGAATAAAAGTTTTAGATCCTCAATTTATTTCAAATATCTAACTCTTTAAAAAATATATGTTTTAAAAAAAATTGTTTATTATTTAATATATAGTAAGCTAATTTAATTAAGTTATATGATTTTTTGTATACATTAAATGACATAAGGAAATAGAATTTTAAGAGAAATTTGTTAGTTTATAAATAATTACATTTTATTCATAATTATTATACAAATAAAATACATAAATATATTTATATATATAATTTTATGAATTATAAGAAAGAAACTTTAGAACTATTTGGTTATGAAAATGTGGAATGTTTTATACCAAAAAACTTACTAAATGACTTTCCATAATACTTTACTACAGAATAATAACCTCCATTAGTAACTGCAATTTCTGAAAGTAAATTGGAGTAATATAAATAATAGTGACTGAAAATGGACTGATTTTTATGTCAGCTCTAAGTCAAAATAATACTCCTTAAGTTTCGTCATAACTTTTAAGGTCTGTATAATCAAAGAGTTCTCAAGGAAAAATAAGAATCTTTTTCCCTTAAAGTATCTACAATATTAATATCTTTTAAGAATGGCCAGTGGTGAAGACCAACATGAGTCCATTTTCTTTTTCAAGATATTCTCATTTTCAATCTTTAGTCATCAGAAATTGGTACTATTTAGACTATAGCAATAATATATAAGGTATATATATATTATAAAATACAAAAAGGACCATTTTCTTGTGTCGAAATGGATAATTGGTATCGAAAAAATTTACTGAATCCAGATTTGCTAATAAGTTATAAATCTAGAGACTTAACTTCGTTTGTAAAAGTAAAAGATCTTCTTAAAGATTCTGAAAATCCAAGATGCAATAAAATTCTAAAATAGATGTATAAGAGAGCATCAAGTGCTATTAATAATAGTAATAGTTTATAGATAATATTAGAGTAAAGAATTTCGAGTGATTCTCCAATGAGTAAAGCATCAACTGAACTATCTTTAAGCAACAATAATAGTTGTTAAAAATAGAGATAACCAATTTGGGGAGTTGATACAGATTATTTGTTAAGTTTTTGATAAAATAAATAATTTATTCATCATCATAATAAATTTGTTATTAAATATAATAAAATAATTAAATAGAGTATTATGAAATATAAATCTTATAGGTTTATATCTATGGGTCAAATTAAAGATAAAGAAATATAAGTTTTAATTAAATACATTAAGATATAAAAATTAGGGATATAAAAAGGTCGATTAATTATTACATAAGATTTAAGTTAAATATTTGTTAATTTTTATGATATTATAAAATTGCAACTTAAAAAGGAGTTTCATTTACTCACTATTAATTAATTTTATAATAGAAAATTTCAAATTGTTAAATTAAAGAATGAAAAATTATTATTTAAATTCAAGTGAAAGAGGGATTAAAAAAGTTAATAATTTGTTATTATATGATCAACCAGAAACTGTGTACGGATAACTATTATTGAATTAAACTAATCCGACATCAAAAAACAAGAAATAATTTAAAGAAATTTAACCGCTCAAACTACTGGATGCCCCTAATGTTACTCAAAATTCTGAGTATTAACTATTAGATTGGTCATCATAGGAGATTATATTCTTAGGATTGAAAGAGAATTTATTCGCACGTAATTTTAAAACAGGAATCACATAATTATTAACTTAATTAGAGGATGGGATATTAACAAGTCTATGCTCTTAAGGAGAACTTATTGTATATAGTACTTCTAATGGTGATCTTATTGTTATTGATTCTGATCAGAAATAACTATTGTAATCCTATTAGTTGAATGATATAACAAGAATGATTTGTTTTAATGATTGCATTTTATGTTGTGCAACAGTAAATAATGGTATTCTTTACATTGATCTCCGATAAAATAAATATATTTATAGAATAGGAACTATGGTTGATATCTATTCTGTCAGTTTAAATGACAATATATTAGCAGCAGGATCTCCAAATAAAGTATGTATATATGATATTCGTAAACCATAAATCTTAATTGCACAATATAACTAAGATGGTAGAGCTTTAACTTGGGATAAAAGGAAATAAAACTATTTATGTGCTGGTGGATTAGATTAGACAATAACTATTTGGAATACTGAAGGTGAATATAATCCTCATCGTTTAAGTGTTGATTATGCAATTACTTAAATAGTAAGTACAAATACTTAGTTGCTTTATTGTGCTGGTAATAAGTGCTACAATAGTAATATAATTATGAATCGTCATTAAGACAAAGTTCTTAGAATAGCTACTTCAACAGATCAAACTTAACTTTGTTCATTAGGAGCTGATGAGTTACTAATCTTCTGGTCCTTAGTTAATTGATTTATTTATGAAATATGTAAGACTTAATTATTAAAATAAATTTTTTCATTAAATAAATTTATATACACTTCTTTTATTTCATATTTATTAAACCATCTTATATTTCGAAACTCATACATATGTATTTTATTTCATATATATTTAATATCCTTTCTAACTTCTTTGACATAATTTACTTATTGCTAAAAACAATTAATTTTATTAAAAAGATTTTTATTTTTATTTAAAATGGTTATTAAGACAGATTTGTGCTCATTTAGTGAATGGCGTATTTACCCTGGACATGGAAGAAGATTTGTGGCTAAGGATGGTAGATTATTTTACTACTTAAACTAAAAGAGCAGAGCCTTCTCTGCTAGAAAAGTATAATATGCATATATTAATTAGATAAAAAGCCAAGAAATTTAATGGACTGTAGCTTGGAGAAGATTAAATAAGAAAATCAAAACTGATGAAGGCGCCAAAAAACGAAGAATTAGAAATCTTAAAGTTTAAAGAGCTATTGTTGGTATATCCTTAGAAGAAATTCGTAGAAGAAGAAAGGAAGATGATAGTAAAATTTTATAATAAAACTTAGAAACAAGAAAAGCTTAAGCTGAATAAGCAGCAAGAGAGATTAAGGATAGAAAACAAAAATAAATTGATGCCTAAAAAACTTAAAGAAAAGGAGTAACAAGTACATAAAAAGTCGCACAAAAAGCTGAAACCAAAGCAGCTTAAAAGGCAGCTGCAAAAACTGCAGGTAAACAAAAAGGAAAGAAATGATAGATTTAATATGTACATTAATTATACAACATTAACTGGTTAATGTTAGATAAATTTAAGAAGCAATTCTATATAAAAATTTAAAAAATAATTAATATGTAATTGATAAAGATTTTAAATAAATTTTATTTAATTCTTGAAACAATCATAAAAAAAAGGATATTAATTTGATTACAAAATCATATATTATATTTGAATAAAATATTGAAAAATAAATACTTTAATTAATACTATAAATTATATTATGAATTAACGATCATTATAATCAAATTACTAAAGGCTAAACATTCCTGTAAAATGTTTGCCAGAAAAAATATTATAGTCAAATAATATCTCTACAACCTCTGAAGGATATAATGGATTCTCAAATTTTAAGAAATTGATTTTTGAGTATTGCAAAAAATCAGAATTCCAAAGGTGTCAAATATTAATTTAAGATTATCTAAAATGTCACATTAATTCTAAATAAAAATGTTAGTAAAATTATGATTCATAATACAGATAAAATCAATTTGAATTATGAGGAGATGATTTTTTGGTTACGTTAGCATTTTATAATTAGCGAAGATTAAGCAATATATTTACAGAAAATATATTAAACTTCAATCGTTGACTATTAAACATTAATAAGTGTTCTTTATATGCTGCATGAATTTTTAGATCAAGATAATTACAGAGATTAAAATGTAATACATTTACAATATTATAGCTAAACATATTAAATGATATTAAATAAATGCTCAAATGAATTTATCTTACTATAAATGATTTAATTTAAATTCAAATTTATTTTAGATCTTTATTTATATAATGATTCCTTAAAAATATAATTATTGTATGAATAATTTAATTGATTTTTTTTAATGTTTTTTGTAAATTGCAAATAGCCAGCCGCCTAATTGCTATAAAAATTATGACATATTTCATTTAATTATTAATAGATATGTCAAGTTTAGGATTAAATTAATAATAATTATATTTATGATTTTTATTATGAAATGTATTTTATATAAAAAAATATTTGAGTAAAAAAATTTATTATTAATTTAAGAATTATTATTCAATATGAGAAGACTCCTTGAAAAAGTAACTGGAAAAGAGAATACCAATAGTACAAATAAAGATTAGTCTGAATAGGATACAAAGATATCCTTAAATGAAATAATGGAAGAAGAAGCCCATTATGAAATTGATGAAGATGATAAACTTTATTATTAGGATGTCTTAAAATTTGAAGCTTAAAAAGCCAAACTTTGGACCAAGCCTGATTTCTAATCTCATTTACTAGTATATACAAAACTAAAATATAATAAAGAATTAACTACTGAAAAATTGTCTTCCTATAGAGTTTATAAGTATTCTTAATTTTAAATAATCAAAGGAGGCTTTATAATGACAAGATTAAAAATAGTAAGGATTTAACTATTTATGAAAAAGTACTCTTCCATCCAGATTTAACATAATTAGATTATGAATATATCTAAGTAGAAAACAGAAAAGTAGTAAGAAATGTAATTAATCTCTCCTTATGAAAGGCTGGAATAATTGAAATAACTGCAATTGGAGGTTTAGGATATTGTTATTTCAAGACAAATCTAAGAAATAAAAAAGGATTTTACGGAGTATTCATGTTAGCCCCAGCATTTGTACTTTTTGGAGGATACACATTTGAAAAATATAGATTTTTAAGAAAACTTTATAATGTAGAATTAGATAAAAAATATAACATTCCATCATGAGTAATTATTATAATTCAATTTAAATTAAAAAACATATGAATTTAATTAAAATTGTTTTTATCAATATTTTTTTGAAAGATGAGAAACTTTAAGAAAAAACAATTACAAAATGTTAATTTTATTAAGTTAACATCTTAAGATAATTAAATTAAATTAATTTTTATAAGTGAAGATTATTCTTCTAATTAATTTTTCATTCTATTTGAATATCATCTTGTTATAATTTCTCTATTACTTAAGCTTCTAACTACAAAATATTATTTAGTGCATTTTGATATTTATGTTTTACTTCATCTAATTCTTGTAATTTTAATACTATGTCTCTATTTTCTTGTTAAGGAGACACAAATTAAGATTATTAGAATGGTATTCTTTACATAGGAGAACTATGTTCTTAGAATTAGGAAGGCTACTAAATATTTGAAGGTCTTAAATAATCTTTAGGGTATCTATCCCATGAAGATCTATTTTAACTCTATCTCATTTATCTATGAGGTGATTTATAGGATTCTCTTTCACGAGCTCTTTCTCTTTTCATTTCATCAATAGCTTCTAAGACTTCAGCTCTTTATCTTTTTCTATTATCTGATTACATTTAATATCTAGATATATTATCCTTGAGTTGATCAATTTATTAATTGAGTTGCATAATATGCATTTCGAGATTGGTTCTTTCATTTTATAAGAACACAACTTAATCCTCTAAATCTAAAATAACCTTTCTTTAATATTCAATAGTATCATATAATTCTTATGGATCATCTTATTAAATTCTATTTTTTAATTCATTAATAGCATTTTCATATGCCCTTCGTTCAGCATAAAATTCTATATCTTTAGTTTAAATTTATGATCTTTATAATATTTCTAAATGTTGTCTTAACTCATAAAGCTCATTTTATCTCTATTTTTCATATCTTAAAATTAATTCTTTCCAATTTTCTCCTTCTGGATATTTCTAGACATTACTTTATAACAACTAATCAATTCTTCTCAAAAATTCTTAAATTAATTACTATTTCTCAATTTCATGTTATTCTTTTAGTTTTTAAATTAAATTAGATTCATTGTATGGTTAATTTTATTAAAGTTGTAATTCAATTTTCTATCTTTCTTGATTTCTAATTTTTGTTAGTTCTTCTTTTAATTCATCTTTAAGAATTGATTAGAAAGACTACATATGCTATTCTATTTATTCTTCTTTTTCTTAAATTACTTACATTAGTTATTATCTGCTTTATTCAGCTTGATCAAATTTTTATCTCCAATAACTTGCTGTATTTTAAGCATCACCTCTTTAACCTACTTCTTTGTTAATACTTTACTAAACTACATCATTATATTTTTATTCCCAATAGGCAGAAGTTTGAAGAGCTTTTTACAAATCTCGATCAAGTTAGCTAATTTAATACTATTATGATTAAATTGTGTCTTATTAGCTAGGATCTGGCTTTTATTATTATTATTCAAGTTCATAAACTCTCTTTTTGTAAAATGTCACTTCTCCCTAAAATGTTTGATTTTCACTTCTTAATTTATCAATTATTTCTGAACTTAAATCTTATTGTTTTAATATTGGTTACCAGTCTTTATCTGGTTATATATTTTATGCTGATTCTTCTTATTGTTAAATAATATCTTAAACTTTCTATGGATCTTTGTGTAAAGCTTATAAGGCTTCCTAGTATTTCTCTTTCCAAAATGAAATTTATTTATCATTTTAATCTTAAGATTATATATATTATCTTGATATTTATTAAGACTAATTTTCTTATTCTTAAATTCTCTTTTTCAAATTAAGATTCTCATCATTTAACATTTTATTTTCAATTTTTAGTTAGTTAATTTAATTTTCATTATCTAATTTAGTTTGATCTGTAGTTTATTGTAACATCAATAATGCTTCCTCTTACTAATGAATATATTGTGCCTATTCAAGCATTTTTCTCTAAACACTTGTTGGAGATAGCTATTAGCTGTATTCATTTAGAACTTATTAATATTTTTATTTCCAAAAATCTACTTGTTAACCAATCAAATCTATCTACCTTTATAAATCTGAAACTCGCAACTTTGCGTTTTCGGTAACAGATGGATCAGAGAGATCTTTAACCTTTTCAATTAAAACTTAATTTTAGCCTTATTATTTTAATAGTTCTTTTTGATTTACATCAAGATCTATTATTAATTTTGAATTGTTCAGGCTCAATTAGTTATTTTTCTCTATTAACTGTGCTAATTTTTATCCTTAATCATCTCCACTCAACGCAGATTTCATTTATTCAATTAAGCTACAATAAATAAAAATTTATACTTTTAATTTCTTTGTTGTAATTCTTATATTTCTCTGTTTAATTTTTAAATTTATCCTTAACTTTCTTATCCTTATTAAGGGCTATCTATATTTTCAAGATTTTACGATACTAAATTAAGCTTTCCTTAAACTTGAATTAATTATTGCTAAAGAGAAGTTCTCTCAATTTATAAATTATTGATTTGTTCTTATAAGTTATCATTATTTGAGGATTAGGGTTATTTAATTTCTTAAGTTAATTGGGATTCTTTTTACTTTAAGATTTACTTTTATTAATCAGCAGGAGCCTATTAAGACATCAATTCTGTGTATTATTTCTTCCAAAACTCAGACTTTAGTTATTCCTATTTATATTCATCAATAATCTATTGATTTTATATTAAAACTGTCTATGCATTATCCAACTCTTTTTACTTTTAAGCAAGCTATGCTTAAAGGATAATATTTTGATCTCTCAAAGATTGTTAAGTCTCTTCATCTTCTTAATCCTGTTTCATTTATTATTTTTACTCTCTTTAAGAAAGTTAGGTTTTCAAAAATTCAATTTATTGTTATTAAATTTCATTCAATTTATCTTACATCTCAACCTATTTTTAATAATTAAGGAGATCTTCTTAGAGCTTTTCAATTTCTTAAGAAGGTTCCTTTTCAATTAAATTTTTAATTCTTGTATTTTCATAAGCTTCTAATTAGGCTTTCAACTCGTTAATTTAATTAATTGCCTACAAAAGTTTTGCTTAAGCGGAAGATGGAGATAATTATTAATATTATTCTTAAAATAAGTTATTATATTTTTCTTTTTCCCTTTGAGCTTCATTCTATGCTTCTGTTAATTTCTCCTCTAAATCCTTAATTTATTAAGGTGATGCTTATTAATGATCTCCTAAAAGTTAATGATACTTATCATTCCATAATTATGCATCTGTAATTGCATCTTTCAATCTTTATTTAGTTTCTGTAAGTTCTCCTACTAATTAAGGAATTTCAGTTTCAATTTAATGTTATTAAATATGATTTTATTCTTCTAAATCATGAATTTATTTTGTTTATTATAATAATTTCTCTTATAATCCATTAGGTGTTAAATTTTAAGATTATAATTCTAAAAGTTCTTAATATTGATTTTTAACTTTTTCTAATTATTTCTTTAATAATTCATTTTCATTTAATAATTATTATTATTATTAAATTTATTCATCTTATTTAATATCATCATGAATATCAATTAATTATTTTGTTTTTTATGTTAATTAACTTTATAAAGCTAATTATTCTTATTAAATTTAATCTAATTTACTTTATAACATTCTAAGATCAGCTTATAATTATTATTTTTCAGACATTAAATTAACAATTTATTATTCATTTACTCCATTTCCAATCATATCTTAAAATTTCTATAAATCATCTTTTCTTTATTATTATAATTCTTCAATTTATTAATTTAATGCTTAATTAGTTTATTATAATTAACTTATTTATAAAGCTTTTTAAGGATCAGTTTAAAATTGAATTGAACTTGATGATGCAATTTATTTTGGAACCTATTCAGATAATACTTCTTACAATTATTTTTACACTTATAATAATTAATCTTAAAGTTATAATTTAATAGCCTTTAATTCATCATTTTCTTTTTATAGTTCATTTTAATCTTCTAATTATGTTTATAGTAATTCATTCTATTTTTTCAAATCTTATATAACTTCAGTTTAATTTCCTTCATCTTTTTATTAACTTTAAGGACCTACTTATTTCTAACTTGGGAATTATATAGGAATATCTTCTCCATGTTTATTTGCTAATTTTTGGTATTCTGTTTTCCAAAATTCAGCATTTTCTTATTCTAATTAATTTCTCAATTCTAATATTTATTATCTATTTTCTTAATCCTTTAATTTAAGATCATTCATTTAATTTTAAAGAGAGATATTTTATTTTTCAGCTATATCCTTTTCTTCTTTTAATAATTTTATATCTCTTTATTAATTATCAATATTATCTTGAGCCTTAATTAATTGTTATTTAAGTTCTTCTCCATTATCTTAAGCTTATTTTTGTTTTAATAATGAATTTTAATACTATTATTACAAATCTGATAAAGCTTATTATGCTTCTTCTTTTGTCATTTAAGCAATATCTTCTTCCTTGTGTTAAGGTTAAGTACTTTATTTATGATCTAATAAATCATGATATTTATCATTCCATAATTATGCATCTGTAATTGCATCTTTCAATCTTTATTTAGTTTCTGTAAGTTCTCCTACTAATTAAGGAATTTCAGTTTCAATTTAATGTTATTAAATATGATTTTATTCTTCTAAATCATGAATTTATTTTGTTTATTATAATAATTTCTCTTATAATCCATTAGGTGTTAAATTTTAAGATTATAATTCTAAAAGTTCTTAATATTGATTTTTAACTTTTTCTAATTATTTCTTTAATAATTCATTTTCATTTAATAATTATTATTATTATTAAATTTATTCATCTTATTTAATATCATCATGAATATCAATTAATTATTTTGTTTTTTATGTTAATTAACTTTATAAAGCTAATTATTCTTATTAAATTTAATCTAATTTACTTTATAACATTCTAAGATCAGCTTATAATTATTATTTTTCAGACATTAAATTAACAATTTATTATTCATTTACTCCATTTCCAATCATATCTTAAAATTTCTATAAATCATCTTTTCTTTATTATTATAATTCTTCAATTTATTAATTTAATGCTTAATTAGTTTATTATAATTAACTTATTTATAAAGCTTTTTAAGGATCAGTTTAAAATTGAATTGAACTTGATGATGCAATTTATTTTGGAACCTATTCAGATAATACTTCTTACAATTATTTTTACACTTATAATAATTAATCTTAAAGTTATAATTTAATAGCCTTTAATTCATCATTTTCTTTTTATAGTTCATTTTAATCTTCTAATTATGTTTATAGTAATTCATTCTATTTTTTCAAATCTTATATAACTTCAGTTTAATTTCCTTCATCTTTTTATTAACTTTAAGGACCTACTTATTTCTAACTTGGGAATTATATAGGAATATCTTCTCCATGTTTATTTGCTAATTTTTGGTATTCTGTTTTCCAAAATTCAGCATTTTCTTATTCTAATTAATTTCTCAATTCTAATATTTATTATCTATTTTCTTAATCCTTTAATTTAAGATCATTCATTTAATTTTAAAGAGAGATATTTTATTTTTCAGCTATATCCTTTTCTTCTTTTAATAATTTTATATCTCTTTATTAATTATCAATATTATCTTGAGCCTTAATTAATTGTTATTTAAGTTCTTCTCCATTATCTTAAGCTTATTTTTGTTTTAATAATGAATTTTAATACTATTATTACAAATCTGATAAAGCTTATTATGCTTCTTCTTTTGTCATTTAAGCAATATCTTCTTCCTTGTGTTAAGGTTAAGTACTTTATTTATGATCTAATAAATCATGATATTTATCATTCCATAATTATGCATCTGTAATTGCATCTTTCAATCTTTATTTAGTTTCTGTAAGTTCTCCTACTAATTAAGGAATTTCAGTTTCAATTTAATGTTATTAAATATGATTTTATTCTTCTAAATCATGAATTTATTTTGTTTATTATAATAATTTCTCTTATAATCCATTAGGTGTTAAATTTTAAGATTATAATTCTAAAAGTTCTTAATATTGATTTTTAACTTTTTCTAATTATTTCTTTAATAATTCATTTTCATTTAATAATTATTATTATTATTAAATTTATTCATCTTATTTAATATCATCATGAATATCAATTAATTATTTTGTTTTTTATGTTAATTAACTTTATAAAGCTAATTATTCTTATTAAATTTAATCTAATTTACTTTATAACATTCTAAGATCAGCTTATAATTATTATTTTTCAGACATTAAATTAACAATTTATTATTCATTTACTCCATTTCCAATCATATCTTAAAATTTCTATAAATCATCTTTTCTTTATTATTATAATTCTTCAATTTATTAATTTAATGCTTAATTAGTTTATTATAATTAACTTATTTATAAAGCTTTTTAAGGATCAGTTTAAAATTGAATTGAACTTGATGATGCAATTTATTTTGGAACCTATTCAGATAATACTTCTTACAATTATTTTTACACTTATAATAATTAATCTTAAAGTTATAATTTAATAGCCTTTAATTCATCATTTTCTTTTTATAGTTCATTTTAATCTTCTAATTATGTTTATAGTAATTCATTCTATTTTTTCAAATCTTATATAACTTCAGTTTAATTTCCTTCATCTTTTTATTAACTTTAAGGACCTACTTATTTCTAACTTGGGAATTATATAGGAATATCTTCTCCATGTTTATTTGCTAATTTTTGGTATTCTGTTTTCCAAAATTCAGCATTTTCTTATTCTAATTAATTTCTCAATTCTAATATTTATTATCTATTTTCTTAATCCTTTAATTTAAGATCATTCATTTAATTTTAAAGAGAGATATTTTATTTTTCAGCTATATCCTTTTCTTCTTTTAATAATTTTATATCTCTTTATTAATTATCAATATTATCTTGAGCCTTAATTAATTGTTATTTAAGTTCTTCTCCATTATCTTAAGCTTATTTTTGTTTTAATAATGAATTTTAATACTATTATTACAAATCTGATAAAGCTTATTATGCTTCTTCTTTTGTCATTTAAGCAATATCTTCTTCCTTGTGTTAAGGTTAAGTACTTTATTTATGATCTAATAAATCATGATATTTATCATTCCATAATTATGCATCTGTAATTGCATCTTTCAATCTTTATTTAGTTTCTGTAAGTTCTCCTACTAATTAAGGAATTTCAGTTTCAATTTAATGTTATTAAATATGATTTTATTCTTCTAAATCATGAATTTATTTTGTTTATTATAATAATTTCTCTTATAATCCATTAGGTGTTAAATTTTAAGATTATAATTCTAAAAGTTCTTAATATTGACTTTTAACTTTTTCTAATTATTTCTTTAATAATTCATTTTCATTTAATAATTATTATTATTATTAAATTTATTCATCTTATTTAATATCATCATGAATATCAATTAATTATTTTGTTTTTTATGTTAATTAACTTTATAAAGCTAATTATTCTTATTAAATTTAATCTAATTTACTTTATAACATTCTAAGATCAGCTTATAATTATTATTTTTCAGACATTAAATTAACAATTTATTATTCATTTACTCCATTTCCAATCATATCTTAAAATTTCTATAAATCATCTTTTCTTTATTATTATAATTCTTCAATTTATTAATTTAATGCTTAATTAGTTTATTATAATTAACTTATTTATAATGCTTTTTAAGGATCAGTTTAAAATTGAATTGAATTTGATGATGCAATTTATTTTGGAACCTATTCAGATAATACTTCTTATAATTATTTTTACACTTATAATAATTAATCTTAAAGTTATAATTTAATAGCCTTTAATTCATCATTTTCTTTTTATAGTTCATTTTAATCTTCTAATTATGTTTATAGTAATTCATTCTATTTTTTCAAATCTTATATAACTTCAGTTTAATTTCCTTCATCTTTTTATTAACTTTAAGGACCTACTTATTTCTAACTTGGGAATTATATAGGAATATCTTCTCCATGTTTATTTGCTAATTTTTGGTATTCTGTTTTCCAAAATTCAGCATTTTCTTATTCCAATTGATTTCTCAATTCTAATATTTATTATCTATTTTCCAAGTTTTAATTTTTTAATTCTTCAATCTATTATTTTTATTAATCATTTTGTTATTGAACTATTTGATTTTATTCTTATAATAAATTTTTTTCTCTTTAAAGATTATCTTTCTCATCCTATAATTGCTATAATTAAGTTTCTTGTTCAATTATTTTTTTCTATGAACCTTATTACTGTTGTTCATTCTATTCTTATTTAATTAATAAATCTTATACAGCTTGTTGAGCTTATTCTAAATTGAGTTCTTTAATAGATTATTTATCTATAATTGCTTATTAGATATTTGGTCGATTATCTAGTAGCATTTAATGTTTATTTTTCCATAAATTAGCCTCCTCTTCTGCTTACTTTAATTTTAATTAGGCTTCTTCAAGTTTACCAATCATTTAAGGTAAATTTTATTCTATTTGATGTTATAATGTTTATATTTCTTCTTCCTACTAATGAATTAATTGTGTTTTTTATAAAATTTCTTCTTTTTATCCATTAGGAGTAACTGCTTATGATTATATTTCCAGTAATTCTTAATATTACTACTTTGATTTTTCTAGTTGTTTCTATAACAAATCAATTTATGCTTAAAGTTGTTATAGTTTTATATTAGCATTTTGTTAATTTTGTTCATCATATAAATCCATAAGTTATTAATTTTTTTCAAGCAGTTGACTCTATAAAATGATTTACGATTATTGTAATTAATCTATTTGATTTTCTAAATTTCTTAACTTTTACTATAATGATTGTTTTTCGGATATTAATGATACAATTTATTTTCCATCTGGTCCAGTACCCACTATATTTTCAAAATTTTTCAAATCTTCTTTTCTTTCTGCTTCTATATCAATAATCTATTTCTTTAATTGTTAATTTTCTTATTATAATTAGCTAATTTAAAGAGCTTTAGTTGGATCTAATTATAAATTATTATCTGCTTTTTGTGGTAATTAACCTGAAAACAATTAATTCAATGTATTTTGTGCATTTAATAGTTCATTTTATAATTAAAGTTTACTTTATTTTAGTTGTTCATTTTCTTATTAAATCTACTAGTAATCATTACCTTATTATTATAAAATTGTTAATTAAGATTATAAAGTATTTATAACTTCATTAGCATTCTTTTCATCATCCTATTAAATTTTGCCTTATTAGGGAACCTAATTTGAAGGAGGCTGTCCCTCTTACTAATTTTATAATTTTTGATACTCTTATTTCCAAAAATCTCCATTTGTTTCTATTAGCTCATTTTTTAATTTCAAAATTTCCTCATCTTTTTACTGAATTAGTGATCTTTGTTCATTCAAATCATGCTAAATTTAATTTAATTACTATTCTGTTAATTATAATTGCTATTATAGCAAGTTATTCTATCTACCTAGATCAGATATTTCTTCTGACATTGATGTTTGATTAGTTTAAGATTACTTTTAATCTAAAATCAATTACTTAATTTATTCCTCTTAACTTTTATTTTTTTCTTTTAATTCAGCCAAAACTTAATTTTCTTCTCGTTATTCAGGTACATCTAATGGTTTTTGACTTAGCAAATTTTAGTATCTATCATTCAAAAGTTAAGCTTCATTTTAAGAATCAGCATACTTTTGTTAAAATTCTTTTAGCTGTCCTTATAATTATGGAATTTAAGTTTCTATTTCTTATTACTTTTCTAAAAGAAGTTGTTCTAATTCATGGATTTATTTTGCATTTTAAAGTAACTTTTCTTTTTGGCCATTTGGAGTTAAATTTTAAGATTGAATTTCTAAGAGTTCTTAATATTGTTGTTTTGTTTTATTCAGTTAAGTTTTTAGTTATTCTATTTCCTTCTAATTTTCTATTATAATAAGTTTTTATTCATCTTGAGGCAATGTCTAATGTAATTCAATTATTTATTTATTTTTTTCAGCCAATTATTCTTATAAATATATGGATTCTTGCTATACTTTGTCAAGTTAGTTTTATAATTATCTAATTTCTGATTAAAGATCTTATTTTTAGCGGAATAAATCCACAATCTATTGTTCATTAACCCCATTACCAATCATATTCTAAAATTATTTCAAATCTTCTTTCTTTTGATCTTCTATTTGAGTGATTTAATTTTTCAACTATTAATTTTCTTAAGTAAGTTAACTTATTTTTAAATTTTTTTCAGGATCTGTCTAAAATTTTAAATTTTAATTTTCAACATTTTCTGTCTAAATTTTATTATCTTATAATTTATTGATTTAGTTTTATTTTTCAAGTACTTAATTCTAAAGCTCAAGCTTTTATTTTCTTAAGTCTTCATTTTCTTATTTGTAATTAGATAATTAATCAAGTTCTCTTTAGTTTTACTCCTTCTCAAAATTTAACTTTTAAATTAAATCCTTTAACGCTTCTACATTTTCTGCTTGAATTTATCCTTAATCTTGCTTTTCTTATCCTTACTATTATTGTTCTTAGAGTTAATCCTTAATCTTTTGAGCATCTACTTATTAATTATTACCTATTAATTCACTTTAATTATCTTTGTAATTTTTTATTTCTAATTTTAGATTTTCTTCTTTTTTTTTGAAATCTGTTATCTAATTTTACAAGTCTTTCACTTATTCTTATAAAATATTTTATAATTATTCAGCTAAATTTTTTTCTCTTTACAAACTATCTATTTCATCCTTAGCTTATTATAACTTTTGTAATTCTAAAGCAGATTATTTCTTTTCTGATTCTAAATTTTACAAAGCATTTTGAAGTTCTTAATTTTATTATTTTAATTATTATGCTTCAACTTAGGAAATTTCTAATTTATCATCATTTTGTTAATTTTCTGGTTGTTTCTTAGCCAGTAAATCTTAATATCTTTTTGCTTATAATTAAGCATCATTTTAAGCAGCTAATAATTCTTATTGAACTTAAGTTAATTATCCTTGTAATTTAGGAAGTTCTTTTTCTAATTCTGATTAAAGATTTACTATCTAATCCTATTAATCATGGATAGTAGTTTGCTATTATAAGACTTTTTCTTTCAAACCATTTGGAGTTATATTTTATTATGCAGTTTCTAACAGTTCTTAATATTGTTATTTAGCTTATTATAATTATTTTTATAATTAATTAATTAGATCAGTCTATTATTCATCTTATGAAATATTTGCCTATTATTAATTTTATGCATCATAGGTTTATAATTCTTTTGTTTTACTTAATAAATCTGCTTATAACAAAATTTATTTTTATTAAAGTTGATCAATTTGATTTTATTAATCTCTAATTTATTTTTATAAATCCTGCTTATCTTTCATTAAAGCTACAACTTTTTATTCTTATACACCATTACCAATCATGTCTTAGAATTCTTTTAAGTCAGTTTATCTTTATTATTCAACATCTTTAATTTAAGTTTTTAATTTTTAATTTTCTTACTCTAACTAACTTATTTTTAATATTTTTTCAGAATCTGTTTACATTCCCTATTAATTAATTGGGTTTTAAATTTAAACTCTTTATTAAGAATTCATATTATTTAATTCATCTTAAATTTTTATAATTTTTTCTTATAATTCAATATTTTTATTTTTCAAAATGTCAATTTCATTTTATTGTTAATCTTATTATTTATTTTTTTCAATAAGAATAGGTTCACATAATTAAATTTTTAAGTTTTCAATTGGTTATTAAGGTAAACTTTCTTCTTATTTTTATAATTAATTTTTCAATTTTATTTTTTCTTCATCATTTACTTATAATTATCTTATTAAATCTTATATTTATTTTTCTTATTCTTTATTTTATTAATCTAACTACTATTGCATTATTTCTAAGTTTTAACATTTTTTTTCTTATTGGGATTGCTATTCTATTGATTTTATTGCTTAATCATGCAACTTTTCTTATTCAAAATCAACTTATTTTTATAGTTTTTAAATTTCTTGTTTAAGTAAAAGAATTTCAGAAAACAATTCTTAATTCTTTTTAATTTCTTTCAATAATTTTTATTCAATGCTTTCTGGTGATAAATTTTAATTGTTTTTTTCTATTTCCTCTTCAAATTTTTATTTCCAATATTAAATTTACTCTTAAAAACTTAATTTTTCTTATTCTAATTAATATAATCTGTCTTAATTATCTCTAAACTAACTTAAAGCATTTTAAAATTCTTCTTTTGATTATTATGGGAATGAATCTGCTATACCTGGCCTTTATTAAGTTTAAATTGAATCAGATATATTAGGATGAATTATAGAAACCCTTTGGGGAACACTTATATTTGTATTATAAGTGTGATGTCTAGTTGGAGATACTCTAATTGGACTTATGTATTTTATTGGTGTCAATACTCTAATACTTCCATTAGACCTTTCAACTGAATATCGAACAGGTGATCCTCTTAATTTATTATTATTTCCAATCAATTTCAAATCTTCATTCTTTAATCTAACTAATGAATTTAATAAAGAAATTTATTTAATAATTGTTGGTACATTATGAGGATCAAGTTAGAGATGTTCAATATGTGTCATAATTTTTGAAAATACTTCTTCTGATGATAATGATGGAGACTATGATCTTGCCTATAAAGGACTTTAATTGTTTAAGATTCTTCTTACTGCTTTTGGTGTTTCATATCTTTTCAAAGCTTCAATATCTTGATTTAATGAAGTCAAATATATTTATATTTATTAGATTTCAACTTCATAATCATCTTAATCTTTATCCAATTTTTATAAAAGATTATTATGAGAATTTATCAATTCTGCTAACATTGTTAAAGCATTAGCATATTTGTTTTAAATTAAATTACCATTTCTATATTATGAAATTCCATTTTAAAGATTGCTTAAGGCATTTTATAAATGTTCAGGTAATTGTTCATTCTTTGAAAAAGATGGTTATTCAACCTTTTTTATTGAAGTACCTTCTTATTTATTTTCTAATTGATTTAGACTAAGTAAATATGATAGTTTTGATTCTAATAATTTATTTTCTTCTTATAATTTTCTTATCTCTTCTAATTTATTTGATTAATCCTAAGATAACATATTTTTATACTTTATTTTAGTTTTCTTATTGACTTGCTTATCTTAAAAAAGAATTTAATTTCTCCCTTGCTAATTTTTCTTTCTATTGTAATTCATTTATTTCTTATTTCTAACTTTATACTTCAAGAAGCAAAACTTATTCCCTCTCCTAATGTTATTATCTTTATTTAATCAAATTTTTACATAGTATTTTTCATAGCATTTCTTTTTCTATCCAACTCAAGTAATACACAATTTAATCTTTAAATTTCAAATCCCATTAAGACTTTTTCCATTTTCATACTAATTAAACTGTCAGAAAGAGCTTGCTACTAAGGTGCTTAAGGAACAACTTAAATAATTGGTGAAACTGCTCTTTAAGGAGAGCGCATTTAAAATGGCTACGGATTTTAGATTGATCTTCCTCTCATTTCAAAATTCAAATTTATTTTATATTAATATCTGATCGTTATTATTGCAACAATAACCAAAAACTAGGAATAACACTAATACATTATAGAATTAACCGCTGCATTCTCTGACCTTCTAACTTATTGATTTATGTAAGATTTATGCTTTAAACATATAATAATTTAACACTTAAACTCATATTAATTCAACTTGCTGGTAATGGGAATTTTGAATCCAATGTTACTTAAACTTTTCCATAAAAAATACATAATGTTTGGTAAAACTTTCATGTCAAATTGTTAAATGCTTCTCCACATCTAAAACCATTTCGATAAAGTCATAAAGTTCCTCCTATACCATTTCTAAATTTAAATAGATTACATATTGTATCATTCTATATAGCTTAGTATCCATAATATCTTATCAACCCATCAGCTTCAAATGTTCTTACGTATAAACAAATATAACCATAAAAATTTCTAGTAGTAGTTGGTTAAATATATAAGTCAATCACTTTTCTAATTTATTAATACTCAAACTTTTACTTTACTATTCCTATAAAGACTTCTTCCTCCTCGACATACTTTTTAATCTTAATTTCCCAATAATGCTTTCAAGAAATTAATGCTAGTGTCCCAAAAACAGTAACATAATCATGATTATCCTATTATATTTGTAGTCAAATTATTATTTGATAAAATAATACTTTTCCCTTTTGTAATTGGATTCCATGTGAAAGTCATTTCGGTTAAAATAAGAGTTAGGAAAAGTATTTTAGACCTACTTCTGATATCTTAATTTAAAGTATCTTTTAATTCTTTGAGTTCAATCACAGAATGAATAAGTTTAATAGTATGAAACATTTTTTATTTTAACCAATTCCATCAATTATAAATGACCTTACTTATACCACTGAATAAGTAATTGGAACAATTGCTAAATAGTAATCTCTTTAATCAAAAAAAAGTCTTAATTAATAAAAATATTACATTATAGATATTTATACCCTTTTTGTAATCTTGGCATTTTAAAAATCAATCATTAATCATTTCTCTTCATTAGTATAAAAGTATTAAAATTTTATCTCTAATTTCTTTGCTAAAACTAAGATTCTTTTAAATCCAAAGTTAAAATCTTCAAAATTGGAGCCTTTTTATTTAATGATTAACCTTCAACTAAATTTTATTATTAAAAAGGTAGAGATTTTACAAAAGTAAAAGATTCTTTGTCATAGAAATTTATTTTTCTAATGAGGGCTATTGAGAAGATTATCGATTATCTACTGGCGATTGAAGGAAGTGGAAAATTTGGTTTTAATTAAGGTACCTCTTATTAGGGAGCATTTAAATTAGATTGTTAAATATAATGTTGGTTTTGCTTTTCCGATTAATTTTCTTGTTATTTCTCTAATTACTTTCCATTTTTTTTTCTAAATATATATAAGTCCTTCATGAAGTTTAAGTTCTTATTTTAATCATGCGATAGTGATCACTATTATTTTTTCTATAATTTAGAATGAAATTTATCATAAAATATTATGAAAGTTAAATAGACAATTTTGAAAAGTAATTTTTTTTTCTCAATTTTCTGTCTAATTTATTTCAATGTCTCTAAACCCCAATATTCCATATTTCAATAGTATAAAATGGTGAACTGGCAAAGATCAATTAATTTTAAAAGAATTATTAATTTATAGAAATTTTCAGAATAACAAAAAGAAATTTAAAGTTTGTATGCCAATAACTCAAATAACAAAATTTTTAACTTAAATTTGAATTTGAAAATAACAATTAAATTTGAGTTAAATAATTAGATGTAATATAGGTGTAAAATAAAATAATGCTTGATATAAGATTTCATTAATTCTAACAACTATTACATAACTCTAAAATTCTCTCATCATCTTAAATACAATAATCATGTCCGATTAGATTTCTACATAATAAACAAAAGATCATTTAATCATCATTTTCATTACACAGACAAACTTAACAAACTTCAGAAAATGTGGCACTTACTATACTTTATGAAGGTGTGTTTAAAAAGCTTTCCTAAAATATGCTTTCATCTTGCTAAGAACTGCTTTCTTATGTATTTTTTTCTAAGAAATTTTCAGATCTTTTTATCCATACCAAAACTCCATCTTAATTAATATAAATATCATACTAAAGATTATAAAAATAATACGTATTAAAATGGTTATCTACATAAGGGGCACTATAATTTTTTGGTCACCTTCATAAATTAATCAAAACATATTTAGCAAAAAAGATGGTTACATTAAAGTTAGGATAAAGGGGAAGTTAATTATTCTAAGCAAATTGGACATAATTGCTTATTAGGAGAGGATTTTTTTTATGATGAGGAGTTCTAATTTCCTAAAAGTTAGAATTTAGAAAATTAATCCTCTAATTCTTCATCTTCAATAATTTTCCTATTCCTTCTTTAATTATGCATATAAAATTATGATTATAAATATTAAGTTCTTCAATTTTAAATATATTCACAATACATATTGTCTATTAAAAAGAATTTTACAGACTTTTTAAATTATTAAAATTGATCAAAAATTTTATAGTTATTTGCATTAAGGAAAAATAATCATTATTTTTATCAAAATGTGAGATGTAACATAACTCTGTGGAGAATTAGCCTTCAAAATTATTTTTTAAGGCTTCTTATCCATTTTTACTAGATATTTTGATTAACTATTTAAATCACAACACACGATAAAAAAAAAGTTGATTATATATTTACTTTGATAAAAATGATTGCTTTATTAAATGTATAATTAATTAAATTTATATATGTTTGGGTGTTGCCAGGTTAAACATAATTTTATTATAATATTTATTAGTTTCATCAATATTTATAAGAATTTCCATAGTTATTTTATTTGTGATTTATTCCATATATGCGAAATTTTATGTTTAATCTTCTTACCTGTAAGTTTGATGATAAAAACTTTAATAGTCAGTTTTGCTTAGGAAGGTGTACATTTAGTAATAAAAATTGTTGGTTTGAGTTTAAGTATAAGGAAGGAACAATCACTTTCCTGGTGTAGAAGTGGATGGGTTTATTCTATCACTGTTCCTTTATGATCCATTTACAAAATTTTTTGATAAAAGAATGAATTTTAGTCAAAAAAAATCTAAGATTAAGAGCTTCAAACAATCATATAGTTTCTTAATTATAGACTAGCATTTAAATTAGTTATATATGCTTATAAAATCAAAAATTATGTAAATTTAGATTCACAAAAATCTATCTATTTTAAGAAGAAATTTAATAAAATTTTATTTTTAGAAATTTATGTAGTTTCTTTAGTTTTAGTAAAAATTAAAGTATTATCAGATTTTGATTGCTAAAACTATTATATTGAGCTAAAAACTTATTTTTCAACTACAAGTCTTAAAAATTGTTATTAAATAGTGTCAGGAATTAAAACACAATTGATTTTGGAAGAAAAATGCTAAAATAATCTTTCAGATTTTTTTTTAAATATGTCAGTTTAAATAAAAAGAAATTTGTTATCATAATTATTTTTATTCTAAAAGTAAGTAAAATACTTTAACTTAACAATAACTAAATCTTTGATAAATAGAAATGAAATTTAAATCTCAATTTGAGGGTTAGTTATTTAGTTTCAATGATTTTACTTTTCACTAAATTGAATTAAGTATATATAAAGATTCAAAATGCAATTCCTGATAAAGGGTTTATCTTTAAATGTTAGAAAATTAATACTCAAATTAATCCAAATATTATTACTTTAAGGAGAATAAATGAATAATAAAAAATAAATTGAATGAGAATAAATAATACTGATAATAGTGAAATATTTATTATTTAATAAAATTAAATCTCTAACAATTTATCAATCATAAAATAATTATTTATTTGATTGTCTTTTGATTTATTAAAGAAAGTATCATCAAGCATGTTATCTAATAAATTGAATTAAATATTTTAGGAAAGTTTCTAATATAAGTGATTATCTTTCGAAATACAAAACTATATAAAATCAATTAAATTAAATTATCTCTTCTAAGTACTTAATCATAAACTAAGGGAATTTTTCTTCTAATACTAAATCTGGGATAAGTCTAAAAATTTTTTGAGCTTTTACTTTTTTTTTCCATCACAATCTTCAACTAAATAAACAAATGATTTATTTTTTTCAAAACAATCAATAATCTTTTTAGGACCTCTTATTCTACCAAATTTGCTGTTTGCTGAATTTTCTAATTACTGCCAATATGATTTATCATCTTTTTTATCAATTTTCTTCGATTTTCTGCATAAACTCTATGTATCAAATGAGCGCTAATTCATAAATTATTAATATTAGAATATATTTAATTTGCGCTTTATTAAATTATTATATATTAAAGTAAATATTTATATATTACAATAAATTTTAATAATTAAAAAGTTTATAGATTGACGTACTGTTATTATTTTAGAAAAACTAATGTAAATATGCAGACAATTAAATCAATCTGAATGAAAAACAGCTGCTTTGGTCTGCTTAATATTAATACAGTTTTGATATAGCCATTAACATTTCCGGTATAGTCTAGTGGTTAGGATATCAGGTTTTCACCCTGGGGACCCGGGTTCAATCCCCGGTATCGGAAAAATTTTTTATACTTAATCATTAAAAAATAATTTAAAAATCATCATTTAATATTCTTTGCACCTATGTTTCAAGCTCAGGGAATTGAATTAATGACTCAAGTTTTGTTTTTACAGTGTTGGGGCAATTATAATTCAATAAAGTAGGGTCTTGTAAAATCAGATTTAAATAGAATTTGTATTCTTCTATTAAATGGCTATTGACCTTATTTCATATAAAAGTATTACAAAATATTAATTAATAATTCCCATGAAATAATGATTAGAATGGATAGAAGAATTCTCTTTAACAATTGTACATAGTAAATAAAATGCTTCTTTTGATTCCTTATTTTATTTTGTTTGTAGTGTTATAAATATTTCATCTAATAGCTATTAATTTTATAAAACCCCTGTTAATATAATTTTATATGTTGAAATAATATTAGCTAAAAATTAATAAAATTGAGCCCTATCAAAGCATCTCCATTTTTAATATAATAAACTTGCGTATTAAAAAGTAAGTAACTCATTAGTAATTTATCTTTAGTGGTTTGATATGTTTTTAAAATATTCAATAATTTAATTTGGATACTCATCAGATAATTGAACTAACTTTTCAGTAATATTTAATTTTTTAATTGAACATATAAATAATTCTAAAGTTTTTTTATTTTCTCTAATTGATTATTAAAAAATTCTTATTATTAATTTTACAACAATTGAAATTAGTTCTTTAATATTATTATTATGTAAAATATAAGAGCATATCATTAATGAATTTGTTATATCAAAACTTAAATTCAGTCTAGAATATAAGGCAAGCAAACATTCTTTAGCTTATAAACTAAATGATTAAAATTTATTTAAAAGAATAATTTATTCAATGCATTCGACTATTTATTTTTTATCTTATGGCTATAATTCAATTTTTGAAAGAATTAAATTGTAAAATATACAATCTAGATAATCTATTATATAAAATATATCTGAATTTTCTGTAATAATTTAACAAAAATTGGCATATAAAGATACCAAATATGATAAAAAGTTTAATTGGATGGATTATTTTATTTATCCTTCATTTGCATTTGCTGTAAACGTATTAAAGAAATAAAGTGATTCTACCAAAAGTAACCTATTATGTTCTGATTAATTTTAAGAAATTTTTACTCAATAAATCTTAGATATAATTTTAATTGACATCTGAAATGAATAATGAAGTAATAATCTTTTGAGGAATATTTAATTAAAGTGCTGCATTAGCTTATTCCTCATTTTCTATATTAGTTTATTACAATATTTATAGAAGAGAATCAGATGTTACATTAGTATTAACCATCCTTTTCCTTTAAAACTATTACTCATTTCTTTGATTTCTTATCTCATTTCTAAACTCTTCTCTCTTCTACTATATTATTAATTACTCTTATTTCATAAAATAATTTAATTTATGGCACAAGAAACAGTTGATTTATGTTGCAACATAAACTTTGAAATTGATATACATCCACTTGTTATCATCTAAATATTAGACTTACATTACAGAAAATTTGGTGCCTCAAGATAAGAGGAAACTATAGTAGGTGGTGCATTATTAGGAACAGTATATACAAATAAAGTTCATATAACAGAATGTTATGCCTTATTAGTTGATCAAGGTGATGATAATAATGTATTTTTTGTCAAAAATCTTTTAGGAGTATACATTTGATTTTAGTGATTCTAAAGATTTATACTTAAGTCATTTATAAGCTAATCCATAAGAAGTTCTTTTAGGAGGATTTGTTACAACCAAAAACTTATCATTAGATATAGGTGTTGCTTATCTATCAACTGAATTTAGTAAAAAAGAAAACGGATTCAATGCTACTGCAGTATTAGGTTAACCTATAATTCTTAAAATTAATCCAACATTAAATACAAATAAGATAGAAATGAGAGTATTTTTATTTAAAATAGATAGGCATTTAAACTTAATCAATCATTAAAGCACTATGCAGCAGTGGCATCTTTTAATACTATGCCAATTAGAATATCATTTTCAGATGAAAATTTTTAATAAGCTTGGCCATTCTTAGCTCCAAATCTATAATAAAAAGATTTTAAAATCGTTAATACAACTAATCCAGGATAATTAGTCTAAGAAAATATTAAAAATATAGAAAAAATACTTTAGTATTTGGAGAAAGTTATTGTATGAAATTCTATTATAATATAATAGGCTGGGAATGAAACAGGAGATTAAGAATTTGGAAGAAAACTATTATCTACTTTGAATCAAATAGATTTGATAAGAAATGAATCTGAAATTGTATTAAGTCAAGTTGAAGAAGCTTAATTATTTTAATATATTGGAAATTTTGCTTAAGGTTAAGCATTTATTAATGAAAAATTGTAAAAGATATGAAATTTTTATAAAAATATACCAATAAAAAAATCACCAAAAGTAATTGAAGTATTAATTCATTAATTAATCTTCTTAAAATAAAATATTTAAAAATATTTTCATTTTAATTTCATATTATTGGAATATGAATAACAATATCATTATAGTTGTCAATCCTTATCAATAATAATCCTCTTATCTACTTTAAAATTATTCATCATCACTATTTGGCCATTCTTCTCTTTCTTTTCCATATCCTGATACATTTCCACGACCTCTTACTCTCCCTCTTTAATTATACATAGTTTTTTAGTTATTATCATATTTTTTAATTTATTATTTTTAATTTTATTACCAACTTTCAATCTTATTTGTATCTTCATCTAAATAATTAGAATCATTATAATCAAGAGTTTAATTTTCTTAATAATTTCTATCCTATCTTTATTATTAGTTTTATCCTCTTGTTTTTATTTAGGTTCCTCTTTAAGGATTATAATTTCTCTATTTTTAATCCTATTTAACATATTTTTTTTAGAATTGTGCATCTCTTACACCTGCTTAAGTTGGTTAAGGATTTTAAGCACGTACATCATCATGAAATTATTATATTTTCTTAACATATTTTTCAACAAGGTTTTAAGTTGATTATGCAACTTTATATTACTTAATAGAAATTTCAGCTTCATAAAATGGTTTATAATAATTCTCTAAATTCAAACATATATATACTGTGTTATTATAATAATTCCATAGCATTATCTAAATTCTTTTTAAAAGTATTATTCTTATTTGTGATCTCTTTTGCAATCTCTATCAAAAATGCCTATTTACTTTTGTCAATTTATTAAACTTAGAAAACAAAACTTTCACAATAATCATCAAATTAATAAATCATTGTTTATTTATATCTTATACAAGAGATTTATAATGTATTTTCTCTTAAATATTCTCTTATTTTCTCTAAACAAATTTCTGTTTAATTATAGTCTATAATATCATATTAAGATAATGTAATTCTATATTATCTTTTCTAATCTAATATATCTAAATGTTTTGATTTTAGTTCTTTTTTTCTCTCATAACCTAAACATTTAAAAAAAAATATACAAAAGATTTTTCCTTTTTCATCATATCCCATTCTAAATGAATAATTGGTAGTATAACTCAATGCAAAAATAATATCAATAGTGAATTCCCATCTCTTTTCACTTTTAAGCATTTAGCATGCCTTTTCATAGTCTAATTTTGAGATTGCAGATTCAAATCGATAATTTTTTTTTTCTATTTTACTTTCCACATTTATGAATTAATCTTAAAAGTGTTGTAAATCTATTAGTGCCTCATCAGTTTTTGCTATGATTGTACCAACTTTGGCCTCTATTCTTAAATTGTCATTCAATTTTTGTTATTTGACAAACTCTTCTAATTCATCATAAACTTAATTATTGTTCATTTAATTAATTTTTAATAAAATTTAATATTTTAATTATTTAATTATTGTTTAAAGGAAATAAGGATTAATAAAATTTATATTTGAATAGGATCTTTGATTTTAATAGGAAAATGGTTATTAAATATTAAAATATCTAAAAAAAGTCTTTCTTAAATAACTTTTAAAACTTGACATGGGATTTTTGGATAAACTTATTATATGTAACATTATTAAATATTATTAAGCATTTCTAGATATTTAATGTAATTGACTTTCTATTAGGTGTAGGTGATAATCATAATTTATTGTTATTCCTTATTTAGATAAGGAAATTATTTTTAATAACGAGGTCTACAAATGATAATCATTATGTATAAGATTTTCTAATTATGGTTTAAAATCCTTCATACTCAATCATAACCATTTTAATATAGATTCATCTTAAAATTGATTAAATAGGATAAAGATTTAATTCAAACTTACATTATTACAGAAAATTAATATAAAATTTTTTTTGGATTAAATAATAAATCATACAAACTAGGCTATTTCAAAAAAAGTATTTTAATTAAAAAGGAACTATTCATTTTTTTTTTATTCAGATATAGTATTTAATTTTTATCATATTAATGAATTAATAACTCAGTTTGATTGTTTTATCATATTTTTTTAAGTTTATATTTAATGAAAATAAGTTTTAATTTGATATGCAATTATAGTTTTGAGATAAAGACTATTTATATTCTCAAAATACAAAAGATTAATTAAGTCAAACTCTAAAAAAATTAAAATTAAATATAAATGTTTGTGTTGAACCTAGTAAGATAATTATGAATTTGAATAATTTTGATAAGTATTCTTTGAGACATCAATTAACATAGATAAATTTACACAATAAAAATGTATGTTGAAAATAT